ATTGGCAGCAAATTGTTAATTCAATTAAGTATTGTCTGAATAGGTGCTATTCACTTCAAGCAGAAAATTTTAAGAGATCATTTGTAACTTAAGCATGGCTCAAAATAGATACAAGAATAAGCAATATTCGCTGAGAGTGAATGTAAATGAATTGCAGTAAGAACAGAATGTAAAGGTTTGTATTTGGTGAGAACAGCACAGAGGGGAAAATAAGTGCTGATATCTTTTCTTTCATGGGTCTATTGTTTACTAATTCAGTGACGTTACCATTACCTCACTTTCCTGCCTTTTGCCTCCTGTAGTGATTTATTTAAGCTTAAGACAGTTAAGTATTTAAAATTTTTGTTCAGTATTTTAGTGCAACTTAGAGCACACAGAAGGTTAAAAAACTACAAAGCAGGTATAATTAATCTAAACAAAGATATAGGTTGAGGTTGTGTGTCTATGACACAGCATGAGAGTGTTTGCAGGCATAGAACATCTGCAATAGGTGTCCCTTTCCAATCTCTGCAACTCACACATCAACGTAATGACTCAGTAGGAAAGTGTGACAGACTGGGAGCAGAGAAATTTATCTGGACAGTTTTCTCCAGGTTCTGGTTATACCTAAGAGACATGGGTTCAGAACTAGACTTGTGTAAGCTATGCTGCACAAAATAATGAAATCCAGATGAGACAGAGAAGGAAGATTAGCACAAAGTGATCACACTCAAAAAGTACATTGTACTTGTGATTCAGGAGGGTGAAAATAAAGACTGTCAGAAGAACAGCCAGAATGGTGGCCACGACACCTTGCAGCTGGTGGCTGTCCAAGAGAATAGGAACATAATGTGGCAGTTGTAGGGTATGTGATAATTTAGGGGAAGGAAAACATCCCTTGTAAGTCTGTGGTAGGGTCCTAAAAAAAAACTTGTTGCCTACCATTGGTAGGGTGAATCCAGAAATATATCAAGTATTCAACAAAGTCAGAGTGGTATTAAGGGAAATTTTAACTTTAATTTTAATTTGAACAAGAAAACTAATACATACCAGAAAATTAGTGAAGTGTGTTTAATGTATGCATCTCTTTTACAATCAAAAAGGCCAATGATTTAACAATGATTGAGATTAGTCAAGGAAGTAATGCTGGTTGTTAAAAATGTTCATATGATCATGGAATGATAGAGTTCATCAGTGTTGGAAAGGTAGAAACAAAACCATTAAGGTTTGAAATTTATGGAATGCTTTTATGTAGCAAAATGGGAAATTTCTTAATAGGCAGAATAGAAAATCATCCAAAGGCATTCAACAAAGAAATCAATGGGAGACACAAAAACCTTGTAAGCCCTGATAAGACAAGAGCATGACTTACCAAAAAGAAACCTGCAGTGGATAAGGGGCAACATTGGCTCAGGAGAATGAGGGATAAGGGGTAAAACTCAAAACAAACCATACAAATGCAAACCAAAATGACAAAACTTGGTGAAAGGGAGATACAAAGAACAGCAGAGTATGTTAAAATAGTTAATAAGAGCTACAAAATGTTTGAAAATCTTGTAAAGGATATCAATATCAACAGATGTCTTTTTTTTTTAAACAAATAATGAGGGAAAAGAAACAACCAGAGGCAAATTAAGTCTCTTAGAAATCAGCATGGTGATACTGTCAATTAAAATAATGAACTGACAAACATATTGAATAAGTACTCTGCATCAACAGGAAGAGGTCAGGATTCCAGAAGTCCCAAGGAAACTAATAGTGAATCAGGGAAAGCGATTCATCAAAAAGAATAAAAAAAAAAGCAAAGGGACAAAGATAAAGAAAATAAAGACTGGAAAGAGTGACAAATCCCCAGGACATTCTAGGATTTCAAGGAATTAGGTGGGAAAATTTAATGTTCATAATTATGGCATCTGCAAACTCTTCATTCAAGAAATGTTCCTTTAGATTAGAAAACTGTTTATTTCTCTTAAGGAAAAGCAGAGAGTTACAAACAAGTTAGCATAACATCTGCTACGTAGAAATTACTAGAGACTATAATTTTTTGCCCCCAGTTTGTCAAAGTTGTACACAAAATGGTTTGCCACTTTCACTCACATGCCAATTTCTAGCATTTTATGGCAGTGGAGGAGGACTGAGGGTCCAATGTGGGCAATAAATGGTGGGGATCAGTCACGTGTGGGAGCCAAGGTTGAATACCTATATATTTCATGGTCCCCATGCAACTGCCAAAGAGACAGTGGGTGCAACATGTTGTTACTTGATTCAAAGTTAATGCCTGATGAATACTTCTGTAAACTCATTTTTGGTCATCAAAAGAAAGCATTCTACCAAACTTACTTGGCTCGCTTAGGAATTGACAACCTTGCTTTTATTCAATGTTTTGTTGAACAGCATACACAGTGGCTTGTTTCTTTTCACAATAGCAAATTCCAATTCTCATCTGCTGTGAAGTTTACACTAGACTTCCGAAGTGCAAGCTTTGTCTTTGTTAGTCTGAGGTTTGCATATCATTTTCTGATGACAAACCTATCCATGTTTGGAATCTGGTAAAAATTTCTCAAGATAAATTCAGACCACAAATTAATCACATCTGTGGCTGATTGGCCCCATATGGCAAATGCCTTGGACAACTCTGATCTAGAGGACTAGAAGGCAAGGAGGTGGAAGTCATTGTGTAATTATACAAAGTCCAAATGAAGTCACACCAGGAATATTATGAGCAGTTCTCAGTCAGAGAGATTGGCAAAGAATGGGAGTATAAATCTACCAGCGAAATAGTTCCAAGGGTTAAATTATGTGGCAAGATTATAATAAGACTAATTGCATTCCCTGAAATTTAAAAGATTACAGGATGACTTAACAAAATTTTCAATGTACTGAAAGAAAAATTGGTATGGTAGATCAAATGAAGATTTTTCTGCCTGTGGAGTCAACTGGTACCAAGTGTAGTCTAAAAAGAAATTGGAGCCAGACTGTTCAAGAATGAAATTTAAGAAACTCTTCTGCACCCAAAGGGTGGTAGAGGTTTACCATGAACAACAACTGATGCTTGCTCAATTGTTACTTGAAACTCCAAGATTGTCAGGCTTTTGCAAAACGAAGTGTTAAGGTATATGGAGCGAAGGCAGGAAAGTGGAGTCAAGTTGCAGACTGTCATGATTTCAAGGGCAAAACAAGCTTGAGGAAAATAAAAGGCCAATTTCCAATTGTTGTCCTGGCAGAACTGAGTTTTGAAAAGGCCACTTCGAAACAATTTAACTCTAGAAAATCCACAATTGAGTCTAACCTTACTCTCAACTGACAAATATATTTCAGGTTGCAAGTGGAAATCTTCAATACTGACCCAAGGAGCAGAGATCAATTACAGCATTCCAATAGCTAGCATGCTGTGGTCAGTTAACTCAGCACAGCCAAGAAATCAAACTTGGGCCATCTTGTCTTGCATGTCTCTGTACCAGTTAATGCTCCTATCCAAAAACACTTTGGGAGGGGAGAGGTGGGTTTGTGGAAGACATTTGGAGGTGCAGGCAGGAAATAGTATTATTTTTAAATCCAAAACAGGTCATGTTTCAAATAATAGGCTAACACTTGTGACCTCTCGCAGAAATGAGATTCATTTGCCCAACCAAGGAAACATTTCAGAACTTTTCAGTGCACTCTGAAATTTTAAAATAGTAAAATGTCAGTAGAAGAGGAAATGGATCAAAAGACCATTTCAACTTGAAATTGGTGCAGACCTAACAGCTCTCCCTCAAGGAAAAGGAAAAGATGCAATGGAAATTAAGAGAGGGTAAACCAATCAGCAGGTAACTGCCTGCCAAAAATACCCAAACAACTGCAGATGTTGGAAATCAGAAAAAAAAACAAAATACTGGAAAAATTCAGCAGGTCTGACAGCATCTGTGGAAAGAAAGCAGAGTTAATGTTTCAGGTCCACTGACTGTTCTTCAGAATTGACCGCAGGCTAGGAAAAGGTTGGTATATATGTGCTGAAGATGTGGGGTGGGGGGAAGTAAACAATAGATGGAGCCCAGAGAAAGAGAGAAAAGACAGTTGGGTAGACTAAGGAATAGGTGAAGGTCAGCTTGGGAGAATGAATAGGTGCCAATAGAGAGCATTAGTGACCGACAATGTGTTATTTCTGGTAGCAGCCCGCGTAATGACAAGGTGTGTGCAGTTTGGTATAAGGACATGGGAGAAGGTGCTCAGGCCCGAAAATTATTGAACTTGATATTGAGTCCAGAAGATTGCAGGGCTCCCAAGCAGAAAATGAGGTGTTGTTCTTCCAGCTTGAGCTGAGCTTTACTTGAGCACTATAGTAGGCCTGAGACAGAGATATTGGCCAAGGAACATGGTGGTGTGTTGAAACGGCAGGCAACCAGAAGTTCAGGGTCATTTTTGAAGACAGAACATAGGTGTTCGGAAAAGCAGTTGCCCAGTCTGCACTTCGTCTCCCTATTACGAGCATTGAATATAGTAGACTAGATTAAGTAGAAGTGCAGGCAAATCACTGCTTCACCCGGAAGGTGTATCAGAGGCCTTGGACAATGAGAATGGAAGTAGTAAATGGGCAGGTATCACGTCTTCTGCAATTACCCCAAACTATCCCAGATTCGCTAATATACATCATGGTCGGAAACAAAGCTGTTTCTTCTTTTTCCTTTGAATCTAGTTGGAAAAAGGCATAGGTCCTGTACTCCTGCCGTATTCATCCACGGCAAGGCGAGAACACATGAATAATCAGGAATCACACCGAGATTTTCTCTCATATCTTTACACCAGCTTGGATTCTGGTAATGGTTTTACAGAGAGCAATCACACTTGCTCTAGTCATCACATTACCATGACTGTCAGACACTTCCTGAACATGGGGGCTACAACAAGCAAATCCAATTTTGGATTAAGCAGTTTAGAAATCAGATGGGTGCAAGACTGGAGTTACTCTCATCAGCTTGTACTCTAGTTGTTCCTTCTTTCATCTATCCCTGCAAGATAGATCGCATTTGATGAACACTTACTTTGATCCCTTCCTTTTTTATAATTAGCAGGCATGTAATATCGAATGCTGACAAGCTTTGTGGTTCCTCTGGGTGTTGTGCACTTCCTGGACTGCCGAACAACATTAGTGAAGGACAGACGCATGTGCTCTTCGACGCACTTCAGTCCAAAATACTTGGTGTTAAAGAACATCAGTGTGTTCAGTAGAACAAAGGGCGAGTATACTCCAAGTTGCTTACATTCCCAGAGATGCTCTTCCTCTACTCGAGAGAATATCAAACCTAAAGAAGAAACAATATCATAATATTAACAAATATACTTGGAACACAATGCAGGACAATATAAAGTCACCATTTGTAATTACAGGAAACTTTCTTATGTTGGATCTTTAAAATTACACCGCTGTATAGAATTGTATTCTTAAGTGTAAGCATTTGCAAGGTAGGCATTCCTAAATTGGGGACTCTCTTTAGTCTGTAACGCAATAAAATAGTAGGACACGTGAAGAAGAGAAGGACACAAGAAGTGAATCAAAGGCTATCTTAAAAGATACAGACAAGATTCACCTGCATAATCCTTCTCCATCACAATAAGATGAACAGTCTCTTGTTAGGTAAAATCAAGGAATAAATTATGTCCTTAATAATCCAGCTCAAAAAGGAAACAAGTAAGTACTGCATGGACATACACACTAACAGCATACAGGAACAAAGAGCTAAACATTATTCACAAATGAAATAATAACAGAAAATATTGGAAAATACATAGCAGGACTGGCAGTATCTCTGGAATGAGAAACATGGTTATCATTTCAAGTCTGTGACCTTTCATCAAAACATTATTCACATGCACAGTTAGAAAACATATCAGATGGCAGAAATCAAACAAAAACATGTGGAAATAAGTAGCAAGTCACGACGTATTTGAAACTAATTTCTGGAATTCTCAACTCCAAAGTACAATAGTATTTGAATTACTACATCTATTCAACTGTGTCCAGGATAGCACAGTGATAGTGTCACTGGATTCGGAATCTTGAAGCCCAGATTTTTGCTCTGGGAAGAAAAGTTCAAATCCAATTACACCGTCTGGTGGTATTTACTTCAAATAAAAAAAGTCTGGAATTTAAAAACAGAAAATCTGAGAAATGAAACCACTCTTGATTGTCCTTAAAAACCTATCTGGTTCATTAATGCTCCTATTGGGGAAGGAAATCAGCCATCCCACTTGGTCTGGCCTACGTGCAACTCCAGACATATAGAAATTAGGTAACTGCCTTTGATATGGCAAATAAACCACTCAGATCAAGGGCAAGTGGGAATCGGCAGCAAGTGCTGGCCTTAAAGTGACACTCGCATCCCAGGAAAGAATAAAGAAAAAAGAAAATGCACTTGTTCTAGAAGGAAGCCAAAAGTCATGTGTGTCAGGCAGGAGTGGAATTAAGACCACAGTCAAATCAGCTGTAATTGTACAGAATGGTAGAGTAGAACACGCTGAGACAAATGGACTACTCCTGCTTTATTATTTTGATCACGTGCTCTAACTATAGAAGTTAATGTTTTGGCTAGGGTTCATCAGCAAGTATGTACTTTCACTTTCTGCATTGCTTAAATAAAATTACTGTCATTTTGAAGGCATATCTGGTTATTGGTTATTTTCTACCAACAGAGGTGTAGATGCAGATACAGAGACATATGAAAGGTTTAAGACAGGTAGGAAATCTGAACTTACCATTTGGAAGCAAACTTGGTTGCCAACCTTGTAGCATTTTATTCAACTCTTGGACAAAGGTAAGGTAATAAAGATCAGTGAATATGTTGACCATTCTGTTGTTTTCAAGCAAGAACTAAAATAAAACAAATCAGAAATAGCAAAATATGAAATGAAATAAACACTTCCTTATTGCTCATTCTTGAAAAAAATACAATTTTACATTTACTAATGGGACATTGATAAATCTATTGTAATTTGAAGCCTTATTATACTTTCAGCTCCTGTATTTACTTTTACTGAAGCCAGATAGTTCATTTTGATTGAGAACGTTCACAATACTAGACATTAGTGAGTAAATAATTCGCTAAGATAATAAGATACTGAAGATTAATCAGGCATCATACATTTCATACCCAGACAGGACACTATTTCCAATGCTGCGTCGTTGCAGGAAATGCATCAAGTAGAAAGTCAGCAGTTCTGATTTAATGAGTGGCAGAAGAAAGAAATAGTTGTCTCCAGTCCCAGAGGACTTGGTGATGGGGAAATGTGTAATATTATGTCCCTGTTTAAACAATTTCAATAAACACTGATACAAATGGATTTTAATTCCATTGATTATTTCCCACCAGGTTTGTTGGAAAAAGTCTGCATTTAACACACTAAGACAAATGATAAATAACCCATAAGGGAATTTGAATAAAGCTCTTTTACCCCTGAATCACAATAAAATCCTACTGCATAGGAGGCCATTCAGTCTGTCGACTGCCAGTTTTGAAAGAGCTATCCAACATGTCCCATTCTCCTACTGTTCCCACATCCCTGCAAATTCTTTTTATAGTATATATCCAAGAAACTACAAATCTAAAAATAGTCAGATAATTGAATCATGTACGTAAATGAAAATAGTAACATTCATAATTCTTTAAAAATCAAACTCTGTTCAAGGAAGCAGATCCTGGACAGCTCAGTACAATGCCTGCTCGAAAATGAAGACTGAATATCAGAATGCAATGTTCATGGGTTTGGTTCCCATTCTATTCAGTTCCCAATGATAGAATCTCCCAAAACACAATCCACAAATGAATCAGTGAAGACAATTTTCTCACTGCTTGACTGCTACTACTGAAAGCGAATGAGTTGATTAAAAACAAAACGACTTTATACTTTTCTTGCTTTGGGGGCAAAAACCAGAACTGAGAGGATATGAAGGTTGGAAAACATGATGATGGAAAACAGAACAATCAGATAAACGGTCTAAAAGTTTAAATTAGTTTCAAGATGCCATACTTAGAAAACTGGAGAACAAAAAGCATTTTTGAGTGGAATCTTCAGAATCAATCAAGAACACCTGAACAGTCTTAATCTAATCCCATGACTGGCTAAACAGGCTTGAAAGATTAAATGTGACTTTGACAGTAATTCCTGCACTGGTAGTTGAGATTATTCCCATTGATTCCAGTTGCAAGTTAAGACAATAATGGTGCAAAGAAGTCCCATATTGATGAACAATTAGAAACTTGCCAGTTTTTTTTATTGCCTTGCACTAATGAGCTGTAAGGATTTGGAAGATTAAAATTTAGAATTGCCTAACAGGCAGCTAAAATTTAAGATTTTGCAGCCAGATCAACTGTGCCTCAAAAAAAATGACTGTCTCTCTGCAGGGTTAAATGGTGAATCCAAACTTGTTAAACCACATGTTTTGCTTACCAGCTCAGTTGCGACTGCAACATGTTGATTATTCTTTCAAACATACAAGGCAACTGAATAACCAACTAAAAACTGAAGTATTAGCTACGATCAGTCAACTCAACTGCAATTGATCCTTTAGTCCCAACTGAGAGAAAGACCAGGAAAGGAGATGGAGACAGTGGTGACAGTGCAGAGTTTGTGATGGGGTCAAAGACAATGGTTTCAGTTCTCCCAAATTAAATGGAAAAAAGTGCAGCTCATCCAGCATTACATATCTGACAACACAGTAAAATCTAACTAAAAGATATCCAAGCTTTTCTTTTTGAAAGCTATATAGGTATATAGCTGTATAGAACCTTAAAAGCCACAACAGAGTTTAAATCAGAATACCATTTGTGAATATCTTTGGTTGCTGTTATTAACAGATCTAAATGTAAAGGTTAGCCAAGCTCTTTCCACAAAATTAAATACATATAAGGGCCACCAGGCTGAAATCCATGAACTAATGAATAAAAATTCTATACACTTTTTTTCTCTGATAAACTGAGATGCTTTGGATAGGAAGCAGAGAAGCGTCAACGATGTAAAAAATTCAATGCTTTATGCTTGTCGTGTTTATACAGAAGTTGCAACAGTCACTAGTCTGAGCTCTGACTGCTTTAGAAATTGTCACCAACATTTTTCTGAATAAAATATATTACAATTTCAAAATTACAGCTGTATTCAGAAGGGAAAAATATTTATACTCCAGTACTTGACCTCACCTCAAGAGCTGGCGATGTTTCCTTTTGGTGAGAATCAGAAACTGCTTCCCACAAGAAAGTACTTGTAAAGGCAAATGCAGTCAGGTGTTCCGCATATTTTAATAGCGCAGAGCATTTGTCAAGCCAGAGAAAAAGCACATCATGTGCACTGTTGAGTTTGAGAGAGAAACATGTACCGAATACAAATACGGGAAGGTAAACTGCAGATTCACCAGCATCCAAAAATAAAATAATCATTTTTCAGATGCTGAGGTGATGATCTGTTGTGAAAGAGATTCCTTGACAAAGCATTTGGAAGCCAGATTTCAGGACTTTGGCAATGTCACTCACCGGCTGGGTATTATGTACTTTAAAATACCACTAAGACCACTGACAGTATTGCACACACCGCCTATCCTCAGTTCAGAAAAAAAACTACCGCCTCCCAGCCTTGATGAATGCTGATTCAAGTATTCCCCAGACCTGGTCACGGTTGGAAATCATAATTGGGCCAAATAGTTTATAGACTTTTAAAGTCAAGTTTGGATATAAAATTTTTTGATCACACTAAAGACTGTGCTTGGTCAAAGATCAAAAAAAAAATTTGATAATAGTTCACATCAGCAATACAGACTTCATACATATGTGTCAGTTTTCTATCATTTTGTGTTCACTTGTGCTGAGAAAGTGTTGCTCAACCAACTTTTCTTGGAGAGGAATCAAGAACTAATTGCAGTGATTGAAAGGGATTTTCTTTTTAAAAATGCAGTTTTCAAAAATACCCTGCACTGAAAAACTGCACTGTAAAAGCATATCCAAAGACACAGCATTTGCAGATGTATTAATTTATATGATCAAAATTCTGTCCAGTGGGATTTACTGCAGCACAGAAATACTAGAAATCTAGGCTTGGATAAGATATGCTTTACCCTGACTCAAGTGTCCTCGCGGTATACACATCTATCAATCTCAGTCTTAAAATGTCATTCATCCATCTACTAAAATCTCTCAGGTCCAAAGTTTTAAACTAGAGAAGTACTGGAATACAAGTTAATAGATGCTCCTGCAAAAACTAAAGGAAGTATTGCAATAATACCTTTTCATGTTCCACTGGAAAAGGAGTAAATTATGTGAAAAACACAAATATTCTTTAAAAAAAAGCAATGCAAAGCATCAATGCTCACATTTTTAACACAGCCCACCTTCTAATGCAGGCTGCAAATGATATTAACCTCCTTGTTGGCTCAGCTAAAAAGGGCTTAAGTTATATAAAGCCATGACTATTCACTTTAAATTACATTTGATTATGCTTGCACCAGCAAAGAGGCAATTGCCCCCTCTAGTGGAAAAGCATGACAAAAGCAGAATGAGAAAGGCAAAATAAAAATCGATGCAAAAAAATGTTTCAAATTAGTATCAGAAAACAGGGAAGGAACACTTGCTACATTTTCTACACGAAAATACTCAAAAATCAATGAATCTTGACTGGGCACCCAGATTTGAATCAGGAACATCTCAATCTGTATACAAATGCTCCAGCACTGAACTATGCACCCCTCCATTGCTGCCATTGAGTTAACTATCCCTCCCTTAAAAGTCTGTACTATATACTGACGTACACTTTCTGAAAATATGATTTATTTTAATTATCAAGCAACGAGGAAATAAAGAATATCGTGTTACACAATAAGGTCACTCAGGGCTATGTGACCAACTGAAACTGATGCAAATTTTTTTTAAAAACGGGGAAAGGTTTAGCAAAGGACTGATGACCATTTCACTTGCTTACAGAGCGCTCTGCATTAGTCATGATCCCACCCCTATCCTCACTTAGCATAAACACTGCTATACATTCAATTCATTTCTGCCCTTCATCTATTTTTTAATGAAGTATAAACTTCTACCATTACAGTCACTTGTGGCAGCCAACTCCCTGTACCTCCAGTGATTTCAGCTACAACCACATTCTCTTGAACTAAGGCTAAATGCTGTAATGCAAAGACTGCAGTGTCTTTATTGTTGTAGTTGTATTTATATTGAATACCCTCTTTGCCTGAAACCATCTTAAGGTAAGTTCACTGAGAAAACTGAGTAAACATTGCACTCAATTCACAGTTTTTTTGACCGAGTGATAGCATATTTCTTATAAAGATCAATTAAAGAATCAGTTTCACAGCACTGGAAGTGACCACGTAACTCAACATGTTAAACTGACTGAAACATATTTAGTTTAATGTCACCTCCCAGCATTCATTGCACTGCCCCATAGACTGACTCAAGTCCTTGCCAAACCCTTTGTCAACTCTTCATTTTGTGCAGCCAGGTTATTCCCTCATTACTACTAACAGAAATCAGTCCATGCTACCTCAGCGTCTCATAATCACACAAACATTATTTAAGCCTTTTCTGTGTCCTCTCTACCAAAGGAATTAAGCCCAGCACATCCTATCTTTACTCGGAGCTAAAATTTTCCTTTCTAGACAATGCTGTGGGAGGAAACCAGAGGACCCGGTGGAAATCCACACAGATACAGGAAAAATGTGCAAAACTCCACAAAAACTGGAATTGAAGCCAGATTCCTAGCGTTGCACGGCAGCAGGGTGAACCATTGAGGTTAGGCAGCATGAGTGCTTTGGTTTCCTCTCAGTCCAAAGATGTGCAGGTTAGGTGGATTAGCCATGGAAAATGTGGTGTTATGGGGACAGGGTGAGAGGCTGGGTCTGGGTGGGACACTCTTCGGAGGGTCAATGCAGACTCAATGGATTGAATGGCCTCTTTGCACACAGGAGGGATTCTAAATTCTAGCTGGGCTTTCTACAGTGGGAGCATAAGTTTCCAGTCTTATATGCTACACTGAAGCCAATAAGTATGCCTTCTTGACCACCTTATTAATGTGTCCTGATGCCTTCAGGGACATGCATTTTAAGCTCCCTTTGTCCCTTCACAGTGCAAAGGTGAATCTAAAGTGCCTTTGCTGCTTCCCCCCACAATATATCACTCAGATCAGAAACTAACTTTAAAAGGCTATGTGGAAAAAAAAAAATCTGGCTTTCTGCCATTTCTAGATAGACATGCCAACAGCTCAAAGAAGTCTGAAATTATTAACAAACCTGTTGAATTCCAAGACACAAGTAGTAAACACTATCCGGCTCGTACCGCTCCCCGTTGGGCCTCTGCACTTCTTTAACAAATTGAGCCAGCCCGTAGTTTAGTTCAGCAGCAGTGCAGGATAAAATATCCTCTTTAATCCTCATCGGTTTAGCTGATAGGAGAGAACAAAAACATATTTTTTATTAAAGTTGTTAGGATAAAGGTTAAGGTGACAAAAGATAGGATCTGATGTATGTGCTCCCTGCACTGGCTAATTCCTCCATTTCTAACATTGAAGGAAGCTTGTAAATTCTTACTGGCTACTGAATCAGTAACAAGGATATAATTTTCACAGAAAAACTTGGATTTTCAGAACTCAAGCCACTGCCAAATCGCTACCTATTCCAGCTCAAAACGTGTTTTAGAATATCATGAATTGCACAAGGAAACAGACATCAAGCTTCTTCAGTTAGCATAAAGGAAATGGCTGTCTACAAAAGCATCAACGTCCAAGTACCAGTTATGAAATTTCTCAGCTGAATTTCATTGTTTTACCAGTTGAAGTGAATAACTCTCAAATCTCTCTGCTGTGAGTTACTCACCGATCGAATAAAACAGATCACAATCCAAACCAAAACTCACTTAGAGCTAACTTCAACATTAGAGGATTAGGCAATTTAAGGGAGTGACTACAACTATTGGAACTTGAATAGTGAAATATCTATTGTGGCCTCCTATTTTTTTCTTAAAATACAAACAGCCATATGAAAATGGTAGCTACAAGAGCAAAGACTGACCAATCTGCAACAAAAGGCTCATATGCTGGATCCTCTCAGTTTCTCAACTATCTGCAAAGCCCAAGGTATTGTGTGAATGGAACATTCACCACCTGCTTAGATGCAGCAATCCGTCAAATTTATTTTGACTGTACCTCCTTTTATTAAGACGTCTATCACCAAGAACAACAGCAGCACTATTGTGGGCACAATCCCACACTATTAATTTGGACCATTGTCACCACTATTCTAGAATCATAGAATCCCTACAGTGTGGAAACAGGCCCTTCATCCCAACAAACCCTCAGAGCACCCCATCCCGCTACAACCCACCTAATATACACATTCCTGAACACAATGGGCAATTTAGCATGGCCAATCCACCTAACCTGCACATATTTGGACTGTGGGAGGAAACTGGAGCACCCGGAGGAAACCCACGCAGACATGGGGAGAATGTGCAAACTCTACACAGTCACATGAGGGTGGAATCAAACCCGGGTTCCTGGTGCTATGAGGCAGCAGTGCTAACCACTGAGCCACCGTGCCACCATCATCACTGGTAAACATCCTACAATTTCCACTCAATACCATTGTGGAAGCACGCTCATTGTAACAAAACTGTGGCTCATCACTATCATCTCAGAGATGCTAAGAATGAACAATAAATGTCACATCATCGCCATCACCCACATTTGGATAACTAGTCCTTTAAAAAAAAAAGTGCTTGGAAAGTATGGAGCAGGGGCATATCAGAAAATAGTCTATACATGCATCTTCCCTTTCAGTTGCAAAACGTACTGATCAGTTCATGTTGCAGAAGCATTTTTCACTCAAAGAACAACTACATGAAAATGAAAACATTGCGATTACACACCAATAAGCTTTCATTCTTCAAACATATTTAAATAGCTGTCTTAATGCATCCAAATTTTTTCCCTTCTTAAAGCAATGACCATGGGTGCCACAGCGATGGGAGCCTACTGCTACTTTAAGTGTTCATTGTTAATTCATGAACTATGACAGGGAATGTCAATAAGCTGTTCAACTGTATAGGACCTGTTAGCATACAGTACACCATTAAGAGACACAATCTCATGATATCATCGCTGCATCACAGCCTGTGACTTGAGGGTAAAGAAGTCTCAGGGCTACACCTTAACTTAGGCCAGCTGAAGTATGATGTGCTGAGGAAGTATACTACATTTTGTAACTAACCAGCTGAATGCTAGCCCAGCCATGAATGCTTCCAGGAATAAATGAACTATAATAAATCTGCTGGATTTTTCAAGATGTTATCCACATCCTAGTGTTATCCCTCATAGCATAGGAAACAAGTACTGCCATATCAAGTAAAACATATCCTACTGGATACAAATGAACATCAAACATGATAGCCACAAATCTAAACACTCTGAACGTTATCATTGGTTCTTTTTGTTTCACGTAAAACGTAATTGTTTAATAGTGGATGTTTTGCTCCCTACAGGGTGTAATTTTTTTTGCTGTTGATTTAAAGAAAAATTGTCAAAGCAACAGACACTGGTCTCAGTTTCTACATCAAGCACCAGCAATCACTCCTGGATCAACTGTAAAAGCGAACACAAAAAAAACCAGGAAATTGTTCATCACTGTATCGGCAACATTATTTCATTCATGACAAACCTTCTTACGCCATTTGATACTTGCAATTCAATCCCAACTAGCACTATGATAAAAGCAGTTTGCCCACTGGCTGATATTTACTTTGGAATAGATATATTTTATTGAAAAAAAATTGATAGTCAGTCCAGGACTGTTTTCCTGCAGAGGTGTGGGTATACGGTTTTGGCCATTGGTTTTCGTACCTAAGCCAACTACAAGTGTAAAAGGGGAATAAATGGTATATACTACTCCCATCAAAAGGAAACATAACAAAAGCATGAACTTACGTCCAAACCTGAGCTCTTCGCTTTTACTGGTATCGCCACTGGCATACTTAGCCTGGAGCCAGGACTTCCAAGCATTGACGCCATAAGAGTAATTTAATCCAGTACAGCACTGTTGGCTAGCAAGAGAATCACGGGAACAACTTTCTGAAAGCATCAGCCGCTTCTGACCCTGCAAGACAAAAAGTACACAAAAAGTCAACACCAAAATTCAGTCTTTATGATGAAGTGAAAAGTCCTGCAACACTCCCCCTAAAACTTCGGAATTGCCCTATTTTTCTATTCTCCATTCAGAAAATCTAAGCCTCCTTTTATATTTGAAATCAAAAAGCAAAAAGTGACTAACTTAAACAGCTTCTAGACAAAAAAAAATTTCACAACTTTCAGCTGCCCTTCAGTATCTTGGCCAAGTGGTCACACTTGATGTATGAATGAAAATAGTGAGTGGCATTAATCTATTTGTTAAGTGAAGGAAGTCCGGGCCAAATTTAATTTTGGCCTCGCAGCATGTTTACCCACATCTACTTCCTAGTTGGCATCATCAGTCTACAGCAGCTGTGTTCTCATATTTTCTCCATTCCTGACTGAAGCATTTATAATTACAAAATATTCCCAATTTGTATATTTTAGTTCTACATTGACATTTATCAAATGAATCATGGTGGCTGTGGAGCTTTTCACCAATGGCAAGAAGTTCTTGTTACAGTTCAACAATTTTGAATTAGGTTTTAAATGGATGGACCTACAATTTGACTCGGCTGACTTTTGAAAGTCACATGGTTGTGCCAAACAAAAAACAAAACCAACATAAATCATACCCTTCTGACTGCTCGTGGGATTTCAGATTCTGGCTGTTCTTCATCTGTTGTTACAATTCCACAGTCGAATAGGAAGTCAACACCAGAGTTAAGTTCCAATGGGGCTGAAATATAAAATAATTAAAACAATTTCTAAAATACTTCTAAAATATTTTATACCAGTATTGAGAAAATATGAAAATTATCTTTTTTAGGTTTCCTAACGGCAATGCTATTCTTTCAATGGAAAAGAATGACTCCACTATAGTAAAGGTCAATTAATCAGATCATCTACATGTTAAACAATTTCTCAATGAACTGACTGCCACATACTTGCAAAATAGCCAAGTCTCAGTTGATTGTTGAATTTGGATATCCACTGCTTATCCTTCCCTCTCTTAGCTACTTTTGCATCAGTATAAGTCAACAGAACCATTTCTGTAGGCTAAGTACCGTTACTTTATGTAGAAGACAGGTGCTCAGATTACAGACTAACTTTACATATCTACACACATCACAACAGCTTTCTGACTTGCATGTCAATGAATCTCAGTAAAGTATTATTTTATAGTCCATAAAACTATAATGAAATGCAAAGTTCATAAAATGGAGTAAGCTGTAAAAAGCTTCCTGTACTCAATTCTGCTCATGTTTATTATCAAATAAACAACATTTTCAAATTTGCATTGGGAAATTACAATAACAAGATTATCAATTAAAAAGAGTTAAATTAGTCAATATTAATATTATAGCTTTATAGCAGCAGGACAATGATAACAATAATTTATACTTACTTTTTGGGAAATCTGCTTCCAAATCCTGCCCTGGCTCATCTAAAACATTAGCCATCTTAACTGCCATGGCCAACACATCATCTCTGGCAGGTCCAAATAAGTCACAGTCTTCCAGGAGGCCATCAGCACTTGGATTGCTAGCAAGATCTGAACAAACAAGGAAAAAATAACTATACCAAATAGCATATTAAAAAGATAACTAATTCTAAAATATCATCAAGCGCAAGAATAGAAAAAAAATCCAAATACTAATCAACACTAAAAACTTAATAAACATACAGTTACTTAAAAAGGAAAACTCATATGAGCTGTCAGCTTTGCTCAATTGCTAGCACATCCATGTCAGGTCAGAAGATTTATGTTCAAATAGTTACTGGTAATTTTATAGGAGTTATGTTAAATTGCATGCAGACATTTACAAACAGGCAATTATTGGGATTTCACTTAGGCTCCTGTAAATAGGAACAGGCTGAAACAGGTGATACGGGGTTTGGAGGATTTGCAACGTGTCACTAAGTTTAAAAAAAAGTGGCTTGCAGGGTCCTGAGTGGTTCATCATAATCATATAGTGGCTAGTACGCTAGATTGGTGGCCACAGCAACCCCATTTCACATCAGAATCTTAAAGTACTGCAGCAAGGTAGCGGTGCCCCTACCTCTGAGCTCAAATCCCACCTGCTCCAGCAGTGTACCATAACACATCTGAAGAGGCTCTTTAAAATAATCTAAATGATCTTAAGTGTAGAAAAACTGGTTCCAGTTCTTTGCTTCCCTGCTACGGCTTTTTAGAACAAAACACAAGCTATACTTGTGGAGAGTACACAATATTTACTAACACCAGTGCCGTAATGAGGCACTTATTACATTGCTGAAAAACTATTTTCAATGAGATACTGAACAAAGTTGAACATAAAGATCTTATGGCTTGACTTGTATGGTTTCCTCTCAGTGTTATGAAGTTGAAATCTATTTTAGGTCATTCTTTCAGAGGTTCACTTTGAAACCAAAGAAAAATCAGGTGAAGAGGTGTACATTATAGCAATTGAAAAAAGTGTTTACAATAGTTAGTGTATTAAGGTTACATATGGCTTAAGGAAGGATCCATTATTCATCGGAACAGATTTAAGAATAATTCTGAAAGAGAAATGAACAGAATTAAATTAAACTTGCCACAAAGATCTGATGAAGCTTTCTCCATTTCCTCAGCCTCTGCTATCATCTCAGCCATGGCGAGTATATCAGCTTCAAATGGGTTTGAAGGAATTTTGACCTTCAGTTCCTCTATTGCCTCCACTATCTTATCAGCACTGTCTAAAGTAGTAGGAAGGAACATCGGAATAGGGACCTATTTTGCAAATCACATGATAGTTTGTTACAAATGTAAAACATTTCAAGTTTAATGAACAAAAACCTCTGTACATATGAAAATATTGTCCAGAAGCAGAAGTAGGTCAATCAGTTCTTCAGGCCCATTCCACCAATCAATAAGATTAAGGCTGATGTGTGTATGCTCCAAATTGCAGTTTCCCATCTCTCTCTGATAATCTTTGATTCCCCTTGTTGAATCTACCTCCCTCCACCTTAAAATATTCAACAACCATATTCTGAGACAGCGTTCCAAAGTTGCAAAACCCTCAGAGAAAAAAGAATTCCCATCTATCATGAAAGGGAGACCCCAATTTTTAAAAAAAACCCATTTGTTTCAGATATCAATGAAGTAAAACTTTTTTGAACCAACGAATTTGAAGCCTTTTTTAAATAAGAAGATCAAAACAGTATAGAGTAGTCAGCTTGTGGTCTCACCAATGCCCTGTACAACTGAAACAGAACTACTTATGTTTAATATCCAATACCTCTCATAATAAAGGCTAATGAAATAACTCCGCACAGGCAGGTATCCCTTCACCAAGTCACCCTTTATTTACACGTGCATAGTACTTGACAGTGGTCCAGTTCCCAGAGTGAACAGAACCTGTGACGCTTTTGTTTATCTGTCAGCCAAGACTCCTTGATTGGACTAGGCCGACAGCCCCAATCAAGCAATTCATATTCTATAAGGTCCACCCAGCTGATCTCATTACAGTTGCTAAACACCTACCTCTCTAAATTTGGGGGATGTAGGCCTGTTCATTTTCTTGTTGCAACTCCTGGGGCGTTTTTGTACCAGGTCTAGTTCCTCCAGCTCAGGCTCAGATATGGGAGGCGCGTACTGGTCTGCAGCCCGCCTCTTGCGCCTGGAGCATCTCGGAAGAAATTTATTCTTTTCCTCAGGAGGTAAAGGCATTGAGGCTGTGAGATCCACGGTGTCCATCTCAGACTCCGAGATTTCTTCAGTGCTAGACGGTGGTGGAGAACCCACTGGTTCCAACAGCCTTTCCGGCTGTTCTTAGAGGCCAGGTACGTTTTGCTCCTGTCCCATTTGCGAATTTGCAGCTTTCACATGGTCCATGCGCTTGTTCAGGAGTGCCTCACCTACCCGAGCTTTGCAAGATCAGCTCGTGACGCACATCGACCATGCCTCTTACCCATGCAGGGCCATTTCCGTGGTTTCAGCATCAAACTTTGAAGTAACCTGTCTCTCTCGCTCAGAGAAGTCTTCTGTCCAGCAGTGGTGTTCCTGATGCCATTTCACCCTCACCCTTGCAGGTTCAAGAAGATCAGATTGAAACTGGTGCACAGTCTTCTCCCCATTAGCAACTTTGCTGGCGCTAACCCCATACATGCATGACAAACGGTTTGATAATTAAATAGAAACCGGGAGAGTTTGGTAGAGTGAAGCTGAAGGCTGTTTCTTTAAGCCTGCCTTCAAAGTTTGGACTGCTCTTTCTGCCAGACCATTGGACAATGGGTGGTATGGAGCTGCCCATATATGCCAATTGCCATTAGGAAATATTCGAATTCCCTGCAGGAAAATGATGGTCCATTGTCAGTGACCAACATTTCCAGGAGCCTGTATATTTCAAACCTTGCTTGCAAGCTTTCATATCATCCCCGTGTTTGACAGATGCACTGTACTGTACGCGTGTCCACATTTGAGTGGGCATCCACAATGACGAAGAACATGGAGCCCGTGAAACACCTGGCATTTGGTCGACATACAACTAAGTTCAGGATTTATTCCCACAGATGTAAGGGAGCTGCTGGCTGTAATTTCTATCATTGTTGGCACTCTGGGCACTGCCTGACCAATACGGCTATGTCTGCATTGAATCCTGACCACTAGACACAATTTCTCGCCAACATCATCATTTTGCACACCCCAAGATGACCCTGGCGGAGTTCAGCCAAAAGCTGGCAGCAACCTTTGCTCAGGACAATCACTCCTACTCCCCGTAATAAAATGCCATGCTCTACTGTGATTTGGTCTTGCCAGGTCCAGAAAGGTTTTAGTTTTGGTTGTGATGGCCCTTTTGTTTCCCCCATCACCACCATTGTTTTAGTTTTGCCAGGACCGGATTACTTTGTGCCCACAATCTGATACTGTCAGCAGTGACCAGAAGGGGGTCCAGAAAGTTTAAAACCAGAACGGACTCTTCTGGTGGTGACACCACTGTTGGCATCTGCCAGCGGAAGGCAGCGCAATGCATCTGCATATGATACTTAGCCTCTTGGATGGTGCTCCAACTGTAATTGTACTCACTTAGAATGAGAGCCCACCGCTGAATTCGACCTGAAGCTATGGGTGGCACAGCCTTATCCTTTGAGTAGCCCTAGCAGGGGTTTGAGATCTGTGACTATTACAAATTTACGTCCATAAAGCTCCTGGTGGAACTTTTTCCCCAAAGGTGACCACGAAACCTTCCTTCTCTATCAGGGTGTATTTGCACTCTGCATCAGCCAAAGTCCCTTTCTCAAACCCACACTATGCTTTCTCACCATTCAGAACTTCTTTATGAACCAGTTTTGTCATAGCAGTTTTAATCATATTTTGAACGGTTTTAAAAATAAGTTATTGTAATAAAATAAAATATTGTAATTGAGCTGATATCACCTAACAGTTGAACTGTGGGAATCTAACTAACAGAACCATGAATCTTATTTAATCAGCAGGTAATTCCACTGTAACCAGTATCATAAACAAGCCAAGTCCAGTTCTCAAAAAGATGTTTACACATACTTTTGAAAAGAGATCCCTGGATGGGTTTTAACAGCAGTAACCTGAAGGTTCATCGGAGGCTTGACCGATGATGTTACCCAGCAGGGAAATGAAACGTCTGCGGAACAACGAACCAGCTCGGCAAGCCAACCAACCACAGCGTCCACAGTCTGAGCAACAAATCTACACTAAAATCTTAACAGCAGTAACCCTTTGCCTATATTCTCATTTTCTCAACACACTGTTGAGTCTACCCAATGAAAAATGACACTTGATGAGGTTACAAGACAGCAGTCAATACTTTAAAGAAATGAACAGAAGGGAAAAAATTGGAAGTGAAATAAACATCAGCATTCTATCCATTGCAATGTCTCTACTTCCTTTCCTCCGACATTTATAAATTCAGCAACTGAAAAATAATCACCCATGGACAAAAAAAAATGTAAAATTAAAAATTAGTCATCAGAACTAAGTTGAACCAATAGAAATTGGAAGTTTTTCATAATTTGCATGCTCCTACTTTATATTTACAAGCTTAAAAATGCAGTCTTATAAAAACTGAATTATTCACTTTTGATAATAAGTACCTCAGACTTAGTGTATTACATGTTACAAAAATTATGAAACTTACCGGGATTGGCATAGAGAAAGGCACTGGTGTGTTTTGACAATACATATGCAAAGGCACTGGTATGAAGACTGGCACAGGGATAGGTACCACAATCAATTGTGGCTTCCATTCTTCCTCTGCAATGGAAAATGAATGAATTTAAAAATTGGTTAAAGTATTGTAATCTTATTGCAGACATATAATGTTTAACCTCTGAGTTAGTAGAAAATAATTTAACTACTTTTTTCCAAACTTAAGACAAAGGTACAAGTGCCATGTACAATCCAAACCTTGCCCCCTCCCAACAAATACAAACCCATTTCTCCAATATTCAAAATATAATTTCAAAGAAATTTATCATAGTTCTGACAAATCAAGTACTGAGTTTCACACAGCTGGAAGTTGTCAATATTGTAAAAATAAAATCCCCTGCAGTAAAGTGATGGAAAAAGTTTCCTAAAAGACTGATGAACGGAGGAGAAAAAGCAGCAAAAAGCACCAACATCATGATCTTGAAAAAAAAACAATTATCTAAAAACTGGTGGCCTGACGAGGCTTGATTTCAAACCAAGTGAAGACAAAGAAAGAAGGAAAAGCATGTGAAAGCATGATGAAAAAAGAAAATGGTCCATTAGGTGACATCCCCCTTTTCCCCCCCCCCCCCGATTATAAAGATAAATAAAGATGATCTATGCATTTTGTATTCCATCTGCTACCAATCCCACCTCACCACCATTAAAGCACCCTAACTGCATCTTTAATAACTTCAAAGTCATGGCTTCCAATAATCAAATGTGTTCGTATAATGCATTTGATGCTGCAGGAAATATTTGATCACCATACACTGGTCCCTGCGTGGACTTGTGTGTGCTGAAAGCAGGAAATTCTGAGAATTACAGGAGAGGACCCGACACCTAAAACCATAACTCAGCAACAAGTCAGTAATGTCAGGAAGGACTGGGAAGATGATGGGAAATTTTAGGGAAACAAAAAAGAACATCTTCCCCTTCTTTGCATAGACTTTTCTCATTGGACTACCCCACTCAGCTGTCAAAACATGAACACCAGATTTAAAGGAGAGGTGGGGTAGAGCAATAATGAATTCAACACCAGGGATAAATGACTCCAGCACAAAAGACAAAGTAGTTAGTTGGGCTTAGAGAACACCTGATCAGCCAGACAGGGGAAAAAAAGATATCAGAACACTCACTATACAATCGATCATTTTCGGAAAACCAGTACATAGAAACCAGAGGAGCCATTTTGTATACAGTAAAAACGACAATGTAGAAATGCAACAAATAAGTAGCTTATTAAGATATAATTTATTGTGGGAGGACACTTCTTAAAGGCACAGTGGATCCCTTGATTTTCTTAATAGGCTGGTTATTAGAGACAACTGAAGCGAAATGGGATGTTAACCTACAACAGCAAAACCTCAGGCAAAGCACTACCACAAGCACCCTTCCAAATGATATCAGGCCAATTTAGAGGGCACTGAACATTAACCACAGTGTAGGGCTGGAGTCAAAAATAGCTCGAGACAAAAATGAAGACAGTGGATTTCTTTCTCCAATAGGATTATTAATGAACTGGTGTTTTAAGGCAATTGAGGGTTACATGATGACTCATACTGATCCCAACTTACATTACAATTTGTTTCCATGATTGAATTCAAATTCTAAACTTGAAACTGCAGGATCTAAACTCATTCTCTGGGTTAGTGTCCTGTCACTTGGACATGACCAATAGACAACTCGTTATGCAGTCCTGGCAGATTTGATGATGGGTGTTTAGTCTATATATGTGGCACATATGCTCAAGATTATGCTTCTTGGACTTCAAGACAGCAAAGGTACAGGCCATACCAAAAGGAAGAACCAGATTATAGTTCCAGGTATCAATCACTACCAAATAGTCATTTAAGACTAACTTGCTGAATTCAACATAGTACATGGAGATATCTGTTCCCTCACATCAACCTTCACTGACCAGCAATTTAAGACATAATTAAAAGCTCACATTTCTTTGAAATGCTTTTAAATGAATGTGATAAATATACAGCAAATTAAATCAACTGGCTTTATAATCTTGAGTATCAACAATTTCTCTTCAACCTGATCATTTACCTGTTTGACATCCTTTGGACTTCATTTCAGGTTTACAGGAGATGCCCTTATTCTGAGTCAAGGGTTTACACAGTACAGCCTTATTCTTCAGTGTCACAGGAGGTGGAGATGGTGGTGAAGGTGGTGGCGGCGGTGGTGGTGGAGGTTGTTGTTTCGATGACCGAGTCTGTACAGATGCCTAATAAGGAACATTTTAAAGTTAGAAATATATAGGAGAGTTATCACATTTATGGAATAATGAATTTTGGAAAAAAAAAACATTAGCCAGAGTGGATTGGATGTGAGACTGCATCGTGGAGACAACCAAGTTTCCAAATTGAATTCTTTCTCTGTTCTGAGTCAGCCAACCTCAGCCACGGTTCTGTTTCGAAATACTATCCAGTGATGCCTGCTCAAGAGTTTAGGGGGAGGGGTCATGAGAAGAGTCAACAGAAACAAATAGGAATTTTGCTGCCCGCTCACACACGCTGTCCAAGTTTACACGTGATGAATGGTCACTGGGTGAGACACAGTTCTACTTTCACTCAAGACTGAACTTCAGGATGGGTCAGTAGGGATAATATGGGAGTTATGAGTGGGAGCAGCACACTGGAGAGTGGAATGTCTTCAAAAGAAAAAATGAAATGTCATTGGAGTCTACATGAACAAGATCACAGTCACTGAAAACAATGCACTCAAATTCTGAATCCCATTCTAGAAAGCAATCTATCCTTTAATAACAATAAAATAGCCATTGGTTGTTATTTGAACATATAAATACCCACAATTTCAAAGCTCTGCAACATACAGCATGTATCTTGTTCCAACCCAGCCACCCAGGTATTATTTCTCTTTTGGGGCTAAACATGAATGATAATTTTACAGTTGACATGATCTGCAAAGTGGCCTAATTTTATAATTGGGGCATGCTTATATTTCACCTGTAGTCTTCGTCCAGCTATACAATTGAAATATGAAGTAGTTACTGGACTTTTCCCCTTTTCTGATTTAATCTCCTTAATAGAAATGACTTCAAACCCACCAAAATCCTGCTTCAATCATTTCCACAATCATTTCCTGTAAACTATTGTTCCATTTGACAAAGTAGACAGAAGAGGACCAGAAACTCGCTTCCCGAACTGTTATCACTCCAGTTTATCATTTCCACAAGAAGCTGTCAAATCAAAGATTTGAAGGAATGTGGTTTTCAAAAAAAAAGACTCAATTAAACCAAAAAGAACTGCAGAAGAGTAAGGAACACTGTGATTATGCACCTGTCAATATTTGTACATATTTTCAGAATTACCTTCCATTCAATTAAAAATAAGATTTGACTTTAAACAGTCTCAGAGTGTAAGATCTTCAGTGTTAACGTCCCCACCCCTATGGTAATGCCCATGTGCAAGAGACGCCCAATAAAAGCAGTTAATGCTTTACAAACTGAAATACCAACAAAATATGCTTAAATACACAGTTCTGATGAAGAGTCAAATCTGAAACTTTACCTATTTTTCTCTTTCAGATGTTGAATGGCCTGCTGTACGTTTCCAGCAATTTTTTGTTTTTATTTCAGATATTCAGCATTCACACTGCTTTTTACCAATGCTTTGCTGATTAACTCCTTAATAAATAAAAGTTATATAAAATAAATGGTTAATAATGGATTTGAAGGTAGGATAAGCACAAAGATAAATCAAATGCTCCATGGAACAGAGTGTTTCTTGCAGTGCTGGAACTGTGAAGGGAGCTGACTACTTATGAACGACTAATACAAATACAAGGTAGAAATCGTGGAGTTTTGTTCAGCTATTATTGGAGACCATAAGATATTTTGCAGAACTTTCCCTCATTTCAGTGGTGGCATGGAATCCATCAGAGGACAGATTGTACACAGTCTGTGGAGGAAGTAAGCTTGATAAGCCATATAGCCTTTTCCTGTTCAATGCTTTCTTACGTTTGTTCGTATCCAATATGATTACATATCCATTACACAAAACCAGAAACAAAATTTCAGTCTGCAGAGTAACACAAAGCAAAACAAAAATAAAGGATTAAGACTTAGGTGATTGAAAAACTATAAAATTGTGAATTTCTGACCTTTGATGACATGTTCAATTTGCCTGAAATGTATAAAGTGCATCCAATTTCCATGATAACTTTTCTATAATGTGGGACTATTTTTTTTAAAAAAATTATGAGTGGAATATGGATGCACTTACCTTAGACATTCAGGGTTCAATCTCTCAACTTTTCAGTTATCACCCAGATCATGGGAGGAAGCACACTGAATGTGGAGTTAAAATGGTTAAAAAAAAACACTTCAATCCACTCCTGTGGTAGGTGGAAGATCATTCAAAACAAAAAACTTTACTTACTTCAAACTGCGTGGGAGAGGGAGTCGGAGAGGGAGTCGGAGACGTCGCACTCGTAGACTCCTGCGCCTCATCTGCAAACAAAAGACACAGATTGTTTGAAACAAACTGAGCCGATGTTTGTGACTGTGCACGTTTTGAGAGTGTGCACATTTGTGGGTGTGCATGTTTACAAAACTTCAGAAAGTTTTTTGTTCAAAAATCATCCACATTATAATGTGGAAGTAATTTGAGGTCACTACTGCACATCTCTGTACTTGCACTAGTTTGCGCAAGTCGTGCAACATCTGCACGACATACTACCAAACAGTTGCTGGGACAAAACAAACATGCCAATTATTTCTCATACATGTGTGTTTGAGACATTTTTCATACATGACTAAACAAACAAGTTAGATGTTTTTGAAAAACTGGCAGTTGAATGAATAGTTTGAAAAGGGACCATGAGGCGCATATTGATATCTGGGATTTGGATTTGAAGACAGCTCAGACCTATGGGACTTAAAGAATACATCCACATACCACGTGAAATAAATAAATGGAGTCTGGAGCAGTCTAACTAAGTACCTCTCAGGTAGGAGATCACCCCATTAAAATGACAATTTATTCCAAGATAGCTAAAAACTGAAATGTAATTGAATCAAGTGGAACAAGATTAAAATTGTAACTAAGTAAAGTCAGACCAACTCATTACACACATGGCATACAACAACCATCCTTCACCTGAACAACGCAGCAAAAGAAACCAAATCTACTACTGCTACAGACTGAAAATACAAATAAATCAAAACACATTTAACCAAAACCTTACATCCATTTCAAACTTGTGCACAGCCAAAAGTCATCAGAATGGATGTTCAATATTGTGAACGGATGCATGCAGGATATGGGACAATACAGTGCAGTATCGAAGTAATTTCTGATTTTACAATTTACATCCCGGTTTTGAAATCCATGACGTTGCCTCTCCCTGTGTTACCTCCTGCAGTTCTACAATGCTCCAAAATATCTGTGACATTATTGACATCAAAGTCAATAGTCCTCCAGACAAACACTTAATGAAACGTCCAAGTCCAACAGAATATTTTCCAGAAGAATAATGAAATCTCCTGACTGTCCTAATTGGTGAATTAAATGAATTGAGTAGTGAGTTAGGATGGTAGTAAATAAAACTAAGTACATGAATATATTAATAAGAAAAAAAGCTTGAGGAGAGACATTGTAAAAGATATTTGGTTCTGAAAGGGTTAATGCTGCAAAGTGCATTAAGGTCCACTATCAGGATAATGTCAAACATAGGGTGTACAGCTCTGGATTCTGAAGAAGCATGACCTACCACCGAGATCTTCTCGCAATCAAAGTAATTCTTGTTCAACACCAACTTGTTAAATCAATTCTTGTGAACTGCTCCCAATTACAAAACTTGGCAACACATCAATCTTCTTTCTCTGTTAGGTGCCCTAGAGGTATGATTGCAAATCTTTCATCAAATCCAACACTGGGAATCCAAGACTGGTGTGGTCGGGTTTGCTTTGCTGATAATAATTGGTCAAAAGCTAAAATAAAAAGTGTAACTCTTAAAACAAAGACAAGTTATGAGACAGAATTGGGTGAAAAGTTGATTTAGTACTTCCGTCAATCTCTTAGTAATTCATGAATAGCACACCCAAATGAGCATTTTAAAACATTTCTTTGTCCCATTTTAAGATGTTACCCTATTAGCTGCTTGTCAATATCTCCACAGTAATGTAGAGGTTTCCATCCCCTCCAAACCCAAAGCATTATAAAATGCTTTAATCCCTTGTCTGTCCCATAGGATGATTCTGAATCACTCCCAATGCTGCATAAATACCTCCTGATTGTGATTCCCCAAGTAAAGAAATGCCTGCAACATAAGGTTAATGGCAAACAACACTACTGAAACATTGATAAATCAGAACATGCAATGTACTAAGGGCAGAGAAGCACGCTGGCCAAGACCTTGCTAACCCACTAAAGTGCAGAGGTTGGGTGGACAGTAGGAAGGCATCCAAGAATTGTATACCACTCTCCATTGGCAAGTATGCTGACAGGGGTAGGTAAAATTCTGCCCCAAGTCTTGATGGCAGTATGTAATTTAATTTAAAAGCCTGAACAGATAAAGAACTGATGCCTTCAAATAAAGATCTTGCAAACTGTACAACTTCTTGCATTGACATTTTATTGCAAGGGCCCCAATTAAACAGGAACATAATTGGACTTGTCATCATTGTGTGGGTCAAGGGCTCTTGTGGCACAGTGGTAGTATCCCTACCTCTGGTCCAGAAGGTTGGAGTACAGTCAGGTCTGCACAGTTTGATTTTTAAAAAAAAAATCTATAATACCAAAAATATCTATAATGTCGACGTGACAGATTAGACATTTGGAATCCTGCAAAATCTGTCTATCATCTACAAGGAACAAGGTCAGGAGCATAATGCAATACTCTCCATTTTTGGATTAATGAAGTTCTAACAATATGACCCAGGAGAAGTCAACCTGTTTAACTAGAAACCATTCACCAGCTTAAACATTCGTTCCCTTCACCACAGCAGCATTGTGCACTACATAAGTTGCACTGCCGCAACTTGTCAAAATTCCTAGAACAGTGCCTTCCAAACCCGGACTGCTACCATCTCAAAAAAGGACAAGGACAGCAGATATTTGGGAACTCCTACCAGTTCCCCTACAAGCCACATATCATCCTGACTTGAATAACAGCACCAATCCTTGATTGTCCCTGGATCAACAGCATTGTGGGTGTACCCGACAGACTGCAGCAGTTCGAAGTGTGGCTCAGGGGTAATTCAACATGGGCAAGATATGCTGGCCTTGTAAGCAATGTTCTCAGTTTGTTAGAGAAATTTATTAGACAATACATTCATTGTTTATGACCCCAAATTCATCTCAAGTTGTTCCCATGACAACTACCAGTGCCATGCCTATAATTATTAATACTTTACCCTAGAACTTTACAGCTCAAAATACTGTCATGCACTATCCAACTTTACAAGGATAAAATTCAAGATAGTCCTTTTTTTCTCCCCTCCACAGCTTCCATGGACAGTACATAAAACATACGTGTTTCGTGCTTCATTCTGCTGATATCAGAGTTAAAAACACTATGCAAAGTTCTAATAATGCAATAATTTTGACTCATTGTGTTGCTGTTAACGACTGACATTAATATCTATCTTCATTCAAAACAATTTCAGACCTACATTTTATTTTTTTTCAAAAGATTACTTTCAAAGTTGGGCACTGTTGTCGTTTGTTTCAAGATTCAAAAAAAGTGGTTATCCAGACCTCTGGAACAAACGTATACCTTCTCACTCATGTCCAAGTATCATAATCTTGCATAATGTATGACTACAATGAAGTACATAGTAGAAAAGATAAAATGTTAAATGATGTAGCATGTTCCTTGGCATTTGAAAAAAGAGAAAGCTTTCATTAAAAAGATTTTGATGGAAAGTTTATCTCTGAAAGATACATACATCTTAGACCAAGTTATTTCAAGCATTATTTTCTTTTATTGCTGCAAGGGTATGCGTACAGCATTACACAATACTTGATGATCACTCACTCAACTGCAAAAACTGTTAAGAGATGAACACAATATTTTTCTAGGTACAAGATATGCATAAACTGGTATTACCATGAGTCCCTATTCATTACAGTTGGAGTCAGGACAAATCGTGAAGGTTCTAGCTTTGATTTCTAGCTTTAGGGCAAGGCAAAAGATGGAGTAGAAACACGGCCAATATTCCAATACGCCAGTCCGGAATCTAGCAAGACCAGTGAACAAGTTAGGCAAAGGTCTAATATGATCCTAACTCCTAGAGTCAGAAATTTTGCCAATTCTCACATTACTTAAATGTTACCTGTGGAACCATATACCAGGATCCAAACCCACAGCAAAAAAAAAGTAGACAAGTAAGCCAGGACAAACCTGAGAAGGTCGTTGACAAGTATTATAAAACCAGTGAACTAAATGTTTTAAACAATCACACAAAAGATTGCCCCAGAAGAAAGTGCTTACATTAATAGCTGCATCCTTTTAAAAGGCTACCTACTTGTGTTAGTGCAAGGACATCTGTACAAGGAGTGGAACTTGCAATTATGTACATGCTTGATGGAAAGTTCAAGTCATAAACAACTTCATTTTAAGGGCTCCTATCTTGAGAGTGAAGCATTAAAACCCGTTAAAAGTTGAAAGTAAACTACGGCGCAATAAAATTAACACGTTGCAAAAGCACAAGACAGCTCATTCTATTATTTTAGCAATGGATTAGCCAGTTTAGTCTGAAATTAATTTAAGGCAAGCACAAAAATCACTTGTATGTTGGTAACTCATCGCAAGTTTGGAGTTTACAAAGTGTACTGAGGAAATTACATAACACGTGATAAGTATTATCTTTGCTCAGTGGTAACATGCATATACACAAAATGGAGCCGAAGGAGATTATTGAGCCTCTTAAGCCTCCTGCAACACAATAAAGTCATGGCTGATCTGTTGATTTAAATTTCCCATTCTCATCTACCTAGAATAACACCTAATACCCCTGGCTAACAAGAATCTCTCTCGGTCTTAAAAGTATTTAATGACCTCCAGTGCCTTGAGGCAGAATTCCACAATTGCACAACCTCAGAGAAAAAACTTCTCTTCAGTAATGTCCTAAAAGGGTGACCTCTAATTTTAAAACAATGCCTCAAGTTCTGGATTGATCCAACATCTTTTCCATGTTCACCTTGTGAAGACCATCATGGTTTTGTGTACTTTAATCAAATCATCCCTCACTCTTCCAAACTCTAGTAGAAATAAGCCAAGCCTATCCGACCTCTCTCAAGACCACTCATTCCAGCTACTAATTCAGATGCCCTCTGAACTGCATCCAACTCATTTACATTCTTTCTTAAATAAGCAGACCAAAACTGCACACATTCTTCAAGATGTGGTCTCACCAATACCTCGTACAACTGAAACGTAACATCCTTATTTTGTGTTTAATACCTCTTGTATACAAGATAGCTTCATGTTTAGCTTTCTTCATTATTTGCTGTACCTGCATATTAACTTCTTGCGAAACATACACGAAAGCACGTCAATCCTTCTGCATTTCAGAATTCTGCAGTCATTCTCCATTTAAATCAAACTGTTATTTATTCTTCCTGCCAAAGTGAACAATTTCATACTTTTCCACATTATACTGGAAAACGACCAGATTTTTGCCCACTCACTCAACCGATCTATATTTGTCTGCAGTTTCCTGATGTCTTCTTCACAACATACTTTCCTACCTGTCTTTGTCATCCATGACTTTAGTTACCATATCATTATCCTCATCTAAATTGTAAGAAATTGCAGGACTCCACATGTCACATCACTCCAATCAAACAACGATGCAGTTATGCATACACTTGTTTCTGCCAGCCAAGCAATCTTCAATGCATGCCAGTGCGTTACCTCTACATTTTGAGTTTCATTTTCCACAATAAGCTTTGATGCAGCATCTCATCAAATACTTGCCAGAATTCACATGGTATGTTCTCATGTCAGAGCTGGAAATTCAAGCTCAAATTCCACTTTAGGATTACAAGGTTAACACCTCCAGTGAAAAAATATTACACTATTAGAAGTATTTGGGTTTTGAATAAAACAACAGGTGGAGGCTTGCTTGCTTTGCCTAATGATATAACAAAGTTCACTTTGAAGAACAAAGTTCATTTTGAAATTTCCCACTTTACCAGTCAATACATAAACACTTAGCAGCACCATCAAAGAAAATCAATCAAATGTATTGTCATTCTTTGTGGTGTGGGACTTCGCTACGGTCAAATTGCTTGATACAGGATAATAATCTAAATATCACAGAAGTAAATTCCTTGGCTATGAGATGCTTTAGGAAATCTTACGGGCATGAAACATCTCCAATAATAAAAGTGCATCTCTTCTCCTTTACGGAGGTCACGAAGATTGACATTACGTGAGACAGTGTTTATATGCAAAACACTAAAAGGTGATTACTTTAACAAGGACTGTAAGGCAACAACAGTATCAACAACTGCACTTCCACTTCAGCACAAGGTATTCAGATGTCAGTCCAGCAATACCGCTGTAGGACAGGGCCAGGTAAAGGTTCACCTTATCCGCAGGAAATAATGGAGGCATGTCATCACTGAATAATGCAAGCACCGCTCAAAAGTCAAGATGATAGATCCCATTAGTTAGTTTAATCCTCTCCAATCAATGAATGCAACCAAGCAATGAAAGAAAGGGAAGCTTTAAAACAAAACCTTCTTGACAGAGAAAACTTCTCACATGCAGACATGTAAACAGCCGAATCTTTTTCGCAGAGAGAAATGAAACTGCTTTTTTTGAAAACTCATGGCAGTCATGCTACCTCTGCCACCGAACAAGAAAATGTAATCATGAGCAAATAAATGGGAAAATAGAAGAGTAAATGCATCAACCTGGGAGGATCTATACTTCAAAAGCAACTTCCAACGTGCGCTTCATCTGAAGTATTTCTTTCAAAAGTGAAGTTATTTTACTGGCTGAAATCATTCTTGCACATGTTTATTCCTCAAGACAAACATATACTGCCAGGTTAATCTCTCAATTTATTTGGTGTTGGAGGTGCTTATCCAGTATCCAATAGTGAAAACATGAGACAGCAATGCCCTAAATCACTACTACACAATTATGCAAAGTGAATGATGAACGCCTATGACACAAATACTGCAAGTTTACAGAGATGCACAGATAACAGCTGATAAAGCGAAGATTAGAACTCGCAAACATCAGCTAAGAAAAGCTAAGTGGTCACACCTCAATGGTTGCTATGAAATAGCTATTAGATCAATAACTATAGCAATGCACCAGTTCACACACTGGTGCTATCTGCTATACTAGTATATTACGTCCACTGCCTACAACATGCGGCTTTCTCTACCCACTTACTGTTGAGTAGACTTTCGGGTCCCTTCTGCGTCGCTAGATTGGGTTGGTTTTGCTGACTGTAGAAGCGCAAGAGGCACTGCTGGTTGCAGAAGTGTTTAATTTCCCCGCGCCAGTGTACCGTTTCCAGAAGCTTGCCCTGACGTTTGCAGGCATGGCATCTGGCTACCTGAAGGACACAGTGAACAATTAGGCAGCAGTCAACTTCTGCACCCAAATAAACATGTTGCACAAGGCAGGTCACAGCTGTTAACACATAGCATGGAACGAGAAAAGGGCCATTCAATCCATCAAGCTTGTTCCATCCACAGACAGTGTACAATCTGCCCTACCATGGGCTTTTATTTAATGACCTGAGGGAAAGTTCTGCAAAGTTTCTCCCTGTTCCAAGAAGGTTGAACATGCTTCCACAATATCTATCCAGAGTCACTCAAACCTGGCCAGTTGCTCTCCGTAGATGACAGTTTCATGGTCCCAGCGGCACAGGAACCAATGTTTCCATGGAGCATTTGATGATCTCTGTCTGCACCTAACTAATCTTTTATCGCATTCCTAGCCAGATACTTATCCAGCTTTTTTTTTTTCTGATGGAGTTCGACATCATTAACTGCTTTTGCGAGGAGTCTGTTCCACAGATCCATTACTCTGTGAGGAAGGGGGGAGAAAAGGTAAGATTTGTAGGCAAGTCTGAATGACAAGATGGTGAAATTCCATGTCCTAAATACAACATCATCAGTAAGAAAATATTCACGCCTCTTAAGGTTGGCTGCATAATCCAGATTCACAATGTGCCTGTGGAGAAACAGTGGAAGAGTTTTTTTTTAAAAACCACTAAGGTAGCTAAAGTAAGGACATGCAACATTTCAAGAAAATTCAGCAATAGTGCAACTTGTAGGTTTTTCATTTAAATCTTTCTCCTTTTTGACAACATTAAAACAATGTAAAATAGGAACTACAAGGCCCATCACATGGTACAACAACACCTCTCAAGATTGACTGTTCTCTTGTCACAGTTTTGAACTCTTGTAATTCTTCAGTTAAGCAGATTCTCCTAGAGCTATCATCCAGGGCACTCGTATCTTCACAGACATACTGGCAGTAGAACTGGACTGAAAATAATTCAACTATTTAACCAAATAATTTGGCAGCACAGGTAGCCGTATGGCCCAAAGTTTGTTTTGCTGGTTTTCTGAAAAAAGCAACATATTTAGTCCTAATCTCTTGCACTTAATCTAACTTTCATTTTTTCTCGTTCGTATTCATGCAACTCCTTTTTGAAAAGTATTCAATTTCATAATCTTATGCCCAAAAAGAAGAACCTTAGTAAAATCCCTCAATTCTAAGCCTATTCTAAGCACATTTCCTGTTCCTTTAGTCCATTCTCATAACCACTATTGTCTTACCACGCTTTCGGCATATCCCGTGGATATCCCATTCTTCCTCAAATACAGCATCCAAAACTAGACATATTATCCCAATTGCAGCATGACCAATTATTAGTGATTTACACATTCTTATGCCTCCAATTCCAAAACACATGATTTTTAAACTTTAAAATAAAAGCCATTAAAACCTCTCACTTTTCTAATGGCTCACATATCTGTACTGTTACTCTCTGCTCATTTACTCCTGTTAGAGTTTTACAGATGAATGCACATTTTTTCTTGTCATTCCTTGAAAAGTAGGCTTATAATTCTGTGTGAATTTGTGGGGAATTTTCTGGGGACCTCCAAGCAAATTAACTAAATTCTCTAATATTGTAATTCCTTCATCCTTTGACAATGACGTACTCTAGGTCTAGTTCTCATTTAAATACAAGAAAGACATAAACTGTATATAGTTTTGAGAACAACCTGACCTCAGGTGACCATACTACAAATACACATTTACTAATGACTCTCAAGTTCCTGTCTTCTCTCAACACTGGCTACTATTTCAATGCCTACATCAATCCAATCTCAAAAAAAGTGTTTCAACTCCTCCATTCAATCTTTCAATTCTACCATCACACTCTGAAATCCAAATGACCAGTGTAAATATATTCCTAAAGTAGATGTTACAAAATCTCCAATTATCTTGCTGGCTAGCCTTGCTAATATTTTGCTTAAATTTCCTAAACTGTGTTTGATGCTGTAGTCCAGCAGCTGTAATTTCATCTAAGCAAGCTTCTCCATACCCTTTCACAAAAGCAAAGCAGTGCAGATGTTGAAAACCTGAGATAGAAACAGAAGTGCTGGAGAAACTCAGCAGGTCTGACAGCGTCTGTGAAGACAGAAACAGAGTTCATGTTTGAGTGTAACATGAAGAATTGAAACTTCAGTTTTGAAGTTGTCATACTGGACTTGAAACACACCACATCTGCTGAATTTCTGCAGCAGACACTATTTTCTGTGTCCAATTCCTTTGCTACTTCCAGAATTACATTTAGAACATGCCCAAAAACCCAATGGCGACCTCTAAATCTACCAATTTTCCCTTTAGGTTATCTGGACTTGTTCCTTTCCGCATTATCAAAATTTGCTTTTTTTTATAAAAGCAATTTAGTTTTCTTTTTAACTACTCAATCTCCATAACAGTGTATGTCAAGTAAGTTGAATGGGAAGGGAACTTAAAAGGTATAAAAAACTAATATCAAAAGTTGTGGGCAAAGAGAAACAGTCTCACATATATTAGCTATGAAAAACCATCCCAGCACCTTGTTCCACAGTGAAAAATACATACAGCTGTCACAGCTTTATGAATCACTCAGAAAAAAAGTGCTGCAGTAACTTGAGTGATTGGATAGACAAGAAAGGTTTTCAACGAACAAAAGGGTGGAAATAACAAAAGGTTAGAACAACACAGACAAATTCTCAATCTAATGCAGCAGATTTGAAATTATTTTTATTCAAAGTGCTTGGTAGGAATATTCATTTTTAAACCTCATACCTTTTCATTTCCACTGAATATTCATCAGTTAATTATGTCTGGTGTGGTACAAGCCACACAAAACACAAAGATGCCACATTCAATCTACAGTAAGTTCAACTTTACCCCCCATGGCAGTTATGTAGGTATTTCATTTTGACATGACACCCTTGGGCTGGAAATAAAATATCACCCACAACAATCCATACACTCACAGTGAATCACAGGTTTCTAGACTACAGGTGAAAAGCCTTGAAGTTCTTTCAACCAGAGGTGAAAGAAGAGGAGGAAAAAATAAATGTGAGGGTGAATGCAAGAGCCAGAAAACTAACGATATGCAACTTTTCCTACTGACCTTGAAGTACCACAGTAGGTATTTGCTTTTGCATTCCTCCCCACAGAAATCCCATGTATTTCCATCCAGCTCTTTGGTCACTGCCCTCTGACAGGTCTGGGAACAGTAAGCACACGTGATGCAGCACAAGCCCAGGTTTTTGGTAAAGTCCTGCTTATAAAGAAGCACACAACCTGCAGACAATGCACACGAAGAAAGAAAATTAAAGTATGTCAAGAATAATGCAGCAAATCAATTACAGCCAAAGGCACTAAAGAAACCAATCACCTAGTTCTTGTAAGGATAACTTTTTTTTTCACAAAATGATCTTCTCCCTAATTGATTGTCCTTGGAATTTCCACTATTCCTGCATAGAGATACACAGCCTGTTCCCAAACCTCCAACAGCACCACACAGAGATGTCAATTAGGGCGTCAACAAGAGGAAAATACAATATTGTTAAGGAAGTGAACTCAGTCAACAGATGGCTCACAAAAGATCAGTGGTAAAAGAGAATAAACATCTGTGACATCACCAAAGCACTCTGCACACAAGAAAACAAGTTGTTGGACTAAGAAGTGCATCCATTTGTGTGAACAAAGATTTTTACTTTGTAAGCTTGCCTCCATTAGTCAAATTGGCAAGCATTTACCACATAGAACATGAGTATAGTGCAGGAAATAGCTTATGTTAAAAACCAGATAACGACTGTTCATATTTTAATGGGTAGACATGAATAGTCAGTGCCAAATAGGATCTAACAAGGATCATTATACAGCGAAACACAAAGAAATCGATGTACAACACCCCCTACTTTAAACATCAGATGACACTTCTAAAGCTAATAAAAATATTTATACTATGGTTGTAAAGAAAGCTGACGATTAAGTAGACAATTTAGACATGACAATAATCTTCTTTAAACAAAGGCACAGTACTTCAGTGCACAGTTTAAAGTCAAATTATTTCACATCTTGCATTGTAATTGCCTTTCTTCAGTGTTCCAGTTAACAATTACTGCATAACACAACACTAAAACAAAGATGAGAAATAAATATCATGGTAACCAGAGTGGTTCATTTCTGTTTCAGTTTTAATAAATTCTCCTTTAATTCAGGAAAATCACAACAGCTAAACACTCTGGAATGCTGGAACAAAATTTGGTCTCTTTTATTTTATAGCATTTAAACCAGGTGTGGACGTGCAAATGCTCCCAAATTGATTAAACTAATGTACAACAAAGTCATGGAAACCAGAAAATTTTGCAGCCTTCATGTCTGCAGAATTAGCTGATATCATCCAGAGTAGCAGCGGAGATGCAAAAATTTGCTTCCGCTCTGGATTAGCCAAGAGGAGCAAGCAAAAGCACTCAACAAGGCTTAATGATTCTGAAGACAGCTAGTGACCTGTACTAAGAAAAAGGACATTGTGCAGATACTGAATGAAGAATGGATCACTAACAGTGAGTTTATCCCCATGTGTAGCTGGAAGACTAATGCTTGCTCCCCTTGCTCTCCAGTTGAAAAATTGGCAACATTCACTCACCGTAGACATCAGAAATATAAGTTGACAACTTTTTTATTTAAAAAAATGATGGGCAGAAAGCAGAGAGATCAGGGATCAACAAAACCTTAGTCTACCTAGCAATGTTTGACTGAACATCAAAGATTAGCCTGAGAGCTGTGCTATCAAGGGAATAAAAAATGTATGGAATTGATACTGCATGCCCAGCTACTAAGGTTGCTTCTGAACCAGAAGCTTTAGCTCAGTAGCAAGTTAGTCCAAAACACCAGACCAAATTAAAAATAACATTTCTCACTTTTGTTCTTTTCCTTCGTAGCTAAGTAATTATCCAATCGCAACATTATTAAACTTGTATACAGTACAATCAATCAGCTAAAACTATACTAATGCATATTTTCCTGAAATTAAAAAAAATTGACTAGGGCTTTAACCATATAAAGCGCCCTAAAATAATTTAAATGTCTCAGAATCTCAAGGGGGAAAAAAAAAAGATGAAAAGGTACAGATAACAATTATTTTCCAGAAACGTGAAGGTAAATGTTTAGCTAGAGAGCTTCAGAGTGGGGCTAATGCAACTAAGGATATATCATCAATGCATGGAAGGCCATACGCAAATGACAGAACTATTTAACAAAACAAAAAAAGAGATTATAACATAAGAAACAGGAGCAGGAGTAGATCATCTGCACCAAAAAGCCTGCTTTGCCATTCAATAAGATCATGGCTGATCTTTTTGTGGACTCATCTCCACTTACCCGCCCGCTCACCATAATCTTTAATTCCTTTACTGTTGAAAAATCTGTTTTTAAGGCAAAGATATTCAACAAGGTAGCCTCCTTTGCTTCACTAGGCAGGAGATTCATAACTCTTTGCTTGAAGAAGTTCTTCCCCAACTCAGTCCTAAATCTGCTCCCCCTTATTTTGAGACTATGTCCACTAGTTCTAGTTTCACCTGCCAGAAGAAACATCCTCTGTTTCTATCTTATCTATAATACATGCAACAAAGTCACAGGCAGGGTTGACGGCAAGGATGAGAACTTAAATTCAATTTTTAGGGGTCATAAAGCTAACACAAGTCTGCAAGGGCGAGAGTGACAGGTGACTGGGAAATACTAAACAAAAAAAAGCAAAGAACTGCAGATGCTGGAAATCAGAAACTAAAACAAAAATTGCTGGAAAAACTCATCAGGAATGGCAGCATCTGCAGAGAGAAAGCAGAGTTAACATTTTGGGCCAGTGACCCTTCTCCAGAACTCAACTGGAACATACTGTCAAGTTTCAGTTGGATGGAGAATAGGAAGGAGCGCAAAGGACCTCTGTGAAATCAGATTTAAAAGCTGATAAAAATAAGGTTAAGCAATGAAAGGCTATATGAAGACTTTTGAAATATAATGAATAGTATCTGTGATGCATTGTTTGAAAGGGTGATGCAAGCAGACTACATAACAACTTCTTAAATAGCAATTAGATAATTATTTGAGAGGGAAAATATTCCAGGGCTGTGAAAAAAATCTAGGGAATGAGACAAATTGGAAAATGCTTCCAAAATGCCAGCACAGGTGTAATGGATCAAATGCTTCATGCAGTGTCTTTCGACCATGTAGGCAATGTGATAGGCAGAAATAAACTGATATCTTGGGTTTTAAACAGCGACTATGGTTAAATAGGAAATCAGGCAGTTACACGGATCACGCAAGGAAGTATACCAAGGTGTAATTTCTTCAGACACACTAGACCATGAGACTACACAAATGCAAACAAAAAAGCTGTTCATTTGTGTTGCAACTCCCAGTGCAGCACTTTCTGCACATGCTCAGTTGTAGTCTCAGAGTGCCAGCTCTGTGTTACAACAAACAAATTAGTTTTATACACATGAACAATCAAGTTCAAGTTTAGGTCTGTGCGATCCTTAACCAATTAGAAGTTTTAGTGTCTAGTTAATGCCTACAGTAACCGTTCCCCTCTTAACTTGCTCCTGATGATTACAGTAAATGAAGATATAAAATTATAAAATGTCAGTAATTGAGATTCTCAAATTCAAAGATATTTTTGAATCAGTAAGACATTATCCTGACTGAAGCATATTTCATAAAAAATTAATTATATGATGTGGGAATCAAAATTATGACCTGTGAGATTTAAAGTCCCGTTATAGTTAAACCTCTCTGTTTCACTCCAAATATTTTGAACAACATTTGGACTCCTTCCACCAAAAAGAAATCTATAAGGAGCAACCACGTACACATCAGCAACTGCAGTGTGAGGGGAGTGCGAATGTGCAACTAATCCTGACACCTTTCTAGCCAGCAGGAATTAGAGCGCCAAAAAAAATGCTACCTTTCAACGAGAGTGTGTAGCATTGAGCAAAAGGCAGCTTTCAGGAGCCGGGATTGAGGCATAGTGGAAAACAGTATTTTCATTAAAGTCAAAGCACTTTTCGAAAACCAACAGGGATAACGCATCATGATGGTAGGCATTCAGGGTAGCATTCGAGACATTGATCAGGGCAGCGCAATAATCCTGGTAAAACAAAAACTGAATGAGATTGTTGTTACAATATCAGTTTTTCAGCGAGTGAGACAGTACTAAGAGGTAACATCACTTTTGTGTGCATTGACAAGAGGTTGCAGATGAGTTGCTGAAGGGAAATTCTAATGTGATGACAACAGTTTTGTGAGGGAGGCCAACAGCCGAGAACGTGAACTGATAGCAATATTGTTGTGTGGCATGGAAGGGTTTAAGGGATGGATGGAAACTGTACACGGAACAACATCAACTGATGAGAGATCAGAAACAGAGGATGAAACGGTCAGAAGAAAAGCTTGAGTTGGATTCTCTCAATCTTGAAAATAAAGAAATCAAAAAGTCTTCACATTTGTACAGGAGGTATGGGTTTGAAGTGGTGTTCAACCCTGTTAGTGATTAATCCCTTTAACTGTCCTTGCCCTCCAAGAACAGTAGCAGACAATGCTCAAGATGCATAAGGACCTTGGGCAAATTTGCCCCAGAGGAGCCCCAAAGCACCTAGAAAATTCAGTCACGGGACAACCAACCAACCGGAGAACAGTTCCACAGAGGTAACTATCAAAATAGAGGGTTTTCCCACTTAAAGTTGGGGTTGTTCTGAAAATTATGACTTTAAGCAAAGCAAAGGAATCAATGTTAAAAATTTCGTTAGGTTCTGCAGAGCATTCCTTAGTAAAGGAAAAAAAGATGAAGCAATATATCTGTACCTCCAATCCGAAATACATTACTGCCTGTACTTTAAATTGCTAAATTCCTATACTGTAAAATAAAGAACTTAAAATAAAACAAACTGAGCGAAAAGTAATATTTCACAGTACTGTTCAACTAGAGGAGCTAGTGTCTCAAAATAACCTGCACTGAGTGACTTCTGCCACTAGATGGCAGCCAAGACCTCAGTATGAAGTCAGGACAGACGTGAGGACCCATGTCAGGAGTGCAGCTAGCAGCAAGGGAGCCAGGGAGAGGATTGAGGTGGAACAAGCCAGGAAACAAGGCTTGGAGAGCCGAAGCTTCAAACACGGGCATGATCTCTTCGGCATGATCAGAACAGAAAGAAATGTGTGTCTGGGATGCACACAGTATAGTACTGGACAATGATTTGTGATGACAGTGGACACAAAATGCATAAATATGATAAAATGAAAATGCCAATTCAAAGTAATAAAAACAGGCCCCAAAGAAAAAGCAACATTAAAATGAAATACTGTTAAGGAGCATTGTATGAAACGCGAACCACCTGTATGTGAGAAGGAGCTCCTCCTGAGGCTTATAGTGAAATGTCCTATCAGCAAACGTGGGAGAGAAGCAGCCTGTGATTGGAGAAGCAAAGAGAAGGTGAGTGTGGCTGTTAGCTAGGCTTCTGAATGTCGTGGGGAAGCATGGCTGGTGAGGTTGTAGGAAGTGCAGAAAACTAGGATACCCATCCAGAGGTGGCAAGGCTGAAAACTGGAGCGTAACTTTAAAAAAACTTTTCAATTAAGGAACACTCAGCTAACTCAAAACCAAGAAAATGTGAAGTCATGAGTGAATTCCTTGCAAATTAATGGGCAGTCTGTACCTTAAGGCTGCAGAGGTTCATAAGCTACTATTGGGGGGACAACAACAATGTAGCAAACGCTATTGTAATGAACAATGCGTCAACTGGATTGTTAACTGCTCAGAATTAAACTAAGATTTGTATTTATGCAAAAAGCTTTTCTCATATTTTAATTACTGGAGGTGCATTTTCAGAGTTAGAGACAAACATGCAACCGTTTAGAGGTGATCGCTCCAGTCTGTGGAAAGTGTGTTTGATGCAAGCATGTTTGTCTACAGCAGTGTGTTTGTTTTTAAAAATAATTCTTTTTGCTAACTTGTCTGTTGTCTTATACCAATTAAACTATTGTGGTGTACAAAATTAAAGTTTTCCTTTTGCATGTGGCTTTAAGTTTGATGGCACAATGATGATTATTGAGGATACTGATGAATTCAAATAGTGCTTCTGTATGGGTGTATCCTAATGCCATAAAAATATCACACAACATGACTGTGTCATCAAATAAAAGGGTTGAGGTGAAAAACCAGCATCTAAATATACAAATAGTCCTCAAGAAAATTTTAAATGAGCCTGCAAAACCAAAAAAAACTGATGCTTGGTAGCGGATCATTTGACGGTACACGTACCAAGAACACCTAACTGTAATGCTCCACATGGCCGTGCCAGCACTTGTGCATTCTAGTTTACGGAACAGAATTCATACAGCAAATATGATCACTGTCAGTGAAAACCCAGGGTAGGGAAGACATTTGGTGGGAGTAACAACAGTGAAGGTAAAAAGGAGGGAATCTGCAGGTGGAACTGCCATCTTTGATTTGGAAGTCTTCCTAGCTGTGTAAGGACAAAACTGAACTATTCATCTGCATTGGAGTGCTGTACATGTTTAAGATCATACCTTCACTACAGAAATTTTTTTCTACTCCCGAAAACTTAATCTTCTCATGCAGTATCTTCTCCTGTTTGCAATATTCACAGACGGACACAACACCATGCAGCCTTTTATAATCTTCACAGCATACCTTACAACAAAACTGCCGAACACTGCCCTAAAGGAAAAAGGAAGATATAGAAAGTGAATCCCAGTCCAAACAACAAAATAACTGACCTCTCCCATGAATTTAAAATGTATGTATTTCCCCTATTTTCAAAACAGTTCACTTTTCTTTCAGGATAAAAGATTTTAAACAAAAATGCAAACCATGTTAATCTATCTCCATTTAATCAAAATGGACAAATCCAGGTAAACGTATTGCATGCTCAAATTCAATTGTTATAATGAAATGAGCTGAGCTAACAATACACTGCTGACCTTATTGTGTCTTGAACCTAGGTATGATGCATGTTCCACCCCAGGGGCACAATGTAAATTGTTTGGCTCAGTGATAATCCTTCTATCTTAGGTGAAAGTCCATGTTTCACCTTGGACTTTACCAGGCAGTCTAGGCTGACACTAAAAAACTGCTGTTGTTTCACAGATTTGTCTTTCAGTTCCTCAGTTGAGGCACTGTCCAAATACATGGTATAATTAGCAATAATACTCCCCTCAAACTGACGGAATGAGGCATTCATTCTTCAACCAACATATTCAAAGCAGATTATTTGGTCCTTTATCTGCTGCTTGTGTTTTTTGGTGTTGCAAATTGGCTGCTCTGCTCATTTTACAAGCGCAGAAACTAAACCAGATAAAATTCAATCGTTGCAAGGCAATTTAGAACACTTCAGGCTACAAAACGCTTTTCACATATTATTACAAGTTTCCTTCTTTTCCACCGGTACTTTATCTGGCACACCATTTACCAATGCCTTCATTTCTTCATTTTTCCAAGGTCAGACTAGTTAATGTAGTACCGCCAATAAGAAACATAAATCCACATTAGCCAAACAAATTACTGGATGCCAAGAAAGAGAATAACACCAGAGTCATAGAGATGTACAATACAGAAACAGACCTTTGGATCCAATTTGTCCATGCTGACCAGATTTCCTAAATAAATCTAGTCTCATTTGCCAGCATTTGACCCTTATCGCTCTAAACTGTTCCTATTCATATACTCATCCAGATGTCTTTTTAATGTTGTAAATGTACCATCCTCCGCCACTTCCTCTGGCAGCTCATTCCACTCCCACACTACTCTCTGCGTGAAAAAGTTGCCTTTTAGGTCTCTTTTAAATCTTTCCCCTCTCACCTTAAACCTATTCCCTCTACTTTTGGGCTCCCCCACCTGGGGAAAAGACCTTCTTTATTTACCCTTTACATGCCCCTCATGAACCTCTTCAGCCTCTCCCATTAACTCAAATGCGCCAATCCTGGCAATATCCTTGCAAATCCTTTCTGAACATTTTCAAGTTTCACAACATGCTTCCTATAGCATGGAGACCAGAATTGCATGCAGTATTCCAAAAGCTGCCTAACCAATGTGCTGTAAAGCCACAACAGGACGTCTCAACTCCTACACTCAATGCACTGACCAATAGAGGTAAGCAAACCATTTCAACTCCCCCTCCCACTGCCTGGGTGACATGTCCATCCTGGGCCTCCTCCAGTGTCACAATGATACCACCCGGAAACTTGAGAAGCAGCACCTCATATTCCACCTTGGGAGCCTACAGTCCAAAGGCCTAAACATGGAATTCACCAGTTTTAAAATCTCCCCACCCCCAGCCTCATCCCATGTCTAACCCTCCCTCTCATTCCCGCTTTCTTGGCTTGATACAACCTGCCCATCTTCTCTCCCACCTGTCCGCCCCCACCCATCCCACAGATCAATCCCCACCACTCCCTACCTGCACACACCTATCACCATCCCTCCTACCTTCCCCGGCCTCACCCCTCCTCTCTCTATTTCCCAGCTCCCTTCCCCCTCCCGATTTCTGAAGAAGGGTCCCAACCCGAAAAGTCAACTTTCCTGCTCCTCTGATGCTACCTGACCTGCTGTGTTCCTCTGGCTCCATGCTGTGTTGTTTCCAATTCCCCGGCAATGTCATATTGCACTTCTACAGAAATAACTGGAAGCACAAATTGCAAAGAGATTTATAGACAGTCACTGTGTCTTCCCAAATCTTACAAACTGATTTAAAGTTCAATATAAGAAAGTGTCGTGGTGTGGTTGCATTTTTTCAGTTTAGAACAAATTATGATGCAACAGACGTGCTCTATTTTTTAGCACAGTCAGGTGCAATTCTCTCAGCTTTCATACTCACGAAATGCAATCCTTCACCTAGTTCTGGCATTGTCCATAAATGCAGCTGAAGAATCAACCCTAATGTTGATTTATTTTAAATGCTTTGGAAAATTTTATATAGGTTTTCAGAAAAAAATGTAAAAGATAGCGAGAAACAACTTTATCTTTGTGAGAATAAATGACTTCGACGCTATCACAAGCAAACAAATCAGTGGAGATTTGATAAGTGAGAGTGAGAACCAAGAATAGTGCCACTCTACGGCAAGAATACTTCAGGACAAAATGTGCATTCCATTTTTCCAATCAAACATAATAATGTCCGTCACAGCACTTATGAAGCATACCAATGTGTAACATTGCAATGGTTACTCTCATTGTAGAATTTGCCAGTTCCTTCCTACTATTCTGTTCCATCCACCCATTTCAGTTTTGCTATCCTCAGCAGACCATTTCATGTAAATCTTTCTCTCCTTGTGAAATTGAAAGCTTTTCCACTGAGAATGAGTATATGGCAAGAAAAACTTGGCCCATTCGAATAAAATTGCCAAATTCAGAATGGAAAAAGCCATTACCATCTAAATATGAAAACATACTTATCTTTCATAAATGGATTGCCCAAACAAATTACCAGTGCTCTTACCTGCCAGTCCAGTATTTCCGGTTTCCCAGTGAAAATATTGTGGCAGTACGTGCAGTTAAGTTGTATGCTGCCTTCAGGGCTGGACTGCTATTGTTAACAGAAATGTAAAGCAAATATGAATAATTACTCAAGTATTATTATGAACTACTTGTCTAATAATACAAGCTTTAGTTGAAGCATTACGGTTTTAAACAAAACTGAATTTCATCTCGAGCAAGTGTGGCATGGTTCTATGAATTTTAATTAAAAGAATACCCCAATAATAATGCCCTTTTTTTAAGATCCAAATGTACTCAAGTGAACCACAAAGAGCATGCAATTCCTCATCAATACACCCAAGTACATTTTTCAATTACTAGACTCTTCCTCAAGGAAAATAACTTCGCTGAATCTATCTGGTCAGTCCCCTTAAGACACTAATATGCTTCAATAGGCTGACTTCTCATTCTTTTAAACTTCAATGAACAAAACAAATAAAGCTCGAGATGGGACCCCATCAGAAAAATAAACTGATGATTCCGCCATGGTATCAAGCAGTTCAGATTTGTTGGGTTTGGTAAAACCTTTCCAAAAATGTTGAGAAATTTTACTTTTGCTCGAGTGGTTCAGGTCTAGAATGCACTGACTGTAACTGTGGTGGGTGCCGATTAAATTGAGGAAGTCAAGATGATTATTTAAAGAGAAACAACATGCAAAGCATAGGGGAAAAAGCAGGAGAATGGCACTCAGTCATGTCGTTCAATTGGAGACCTCATGTTGACACAACGGGCTGAATAGACTCTCCACAGTTTGCAATATTTCTGTGGTTCTCTGATTCAGCTCCAATGAAAGATCAACCACCTAAAATATCGACTCTATTCCTGTCTCCAAATGCCGTCTGATCTACAGGTGCATTTTCAGTATTTTCTGTTCAAGTAACTGGGTACCTCCTTATCCAGTCAGACGGAAGAATTTTTACTAAGACGTGCAGAGTCTGGACAATAAGTGTAACTTTGAATAGTCAATTTGATGACAAGTCATAAATAAAAGCAAAACAAAGGATATGTGAATATGGAATGAGAAAAAATAAAAGGGGTTGAATAAATAAATATAACTTCGTTAAAAACCCATTTTAAAACAAAAATCAAGTTATGATATGTGGGCACTGCTGACTTAGGGCAGCATTTATTGCCATCCTTAATTGCCCAGAGGACAGTTAAGAGTCAACCAAGAACTTTACTGTGGATCTGGAGAGCCATGTGGGCCAGACCAGGTTAACATGGCAGACTTCCTTCCCTTAAGGACGTTTGTGAATCAGATTGGTTTTTACAAGAGTAGACAGTGGTTACAAGGTCATCATTAGGTCAGCTTTTTGTTCTAGATTTTTATTGGATTCAAATTCATGTTCCCCAGAACAATGAAATAATACTTCTCCCTGAGAAAAGCAGTCTTTAATGCCACCAAGGTTGTTTGGCAGTAATTGAAACTCGCCCCACTAATAAAAATTTTGCTTACAATAGAATGCACAAACCTGATTTTTTTCTAGCATGTTTGATGCATACTGGCAATGAAAGTAATCCTGACCCTATCAGATCCTGTCACATATCTAAATGTTGAATTTCTCGATGAGATATTATTAAAGCAATGTTTTTGGTAGAACAGGAAAACAATTTCATGTTTTCCTAACTTTTGCATTTATCTCTGCACAAGTAGTAATCAGATGTTCTTCTCCAATTTTCAGTTTAGTAACAGTGAACACTCGTGGTTAAAATATTTTTGAGACCATAAAATCTGGACCATCATTTACCCGAGCCAGAGTGAAAGCAACATTGCTAAATTTAAGCTGATACTACATACTGTCTAAATGACGAAGTGTGGACATGTGCAAACAACTACTTTGCAAGATTGAGCAATATTGAGTGGCTTCTTCCTCAAACATCATTTTTATTCTTCTTTCCATCTGGGCAAGATTGTATTTATGAAATACATTATTTGCCATTAAAGCTGTCCGGAGAGCATGAAAAGGCAACTAGTCACACAGATTTAAGATCCACAAGAACGTAAACACGAGGAGCAGGAGTAAGCCATTTGGTCCCTCAAGCTTGCACAGCCATTCAATAAGACGACAGTTAATCCAATTACCTTAACTCCATTCTCTTACCTACCCTCATAGGTCATCACTCCCTTTTAGATCAAATATTTCTGTTCCATCTTTGATGCATACTAGTCAATCACGTAGGGTTTAAATGACCATCTAATATTTTTATGACATTTTATCTGGTGGAATCCCACAAAATACCAGTTTAATTCAGTAATGTTAAAACTCTTCTATTCAAGTGTGCTTCCAATTCCCCCTTTATTCAGCCTCTTGCACTTTCTGACATATTTGTCTCAGGTGAGGGGTATACAAAGACAAAAATGCTCCAGATGGCACTTGATAAATTTACACATCTGTTGGTTCAGTGCAAATAAAGATGAAAAAGCAACACTGCTATAAATATTTAGAAAGAGGCTATTCCACACATCCATCACTTGCTGAATTTCAGAATTATAATCTGAACGATACAGCATTCACAAAATTAAATTACTTTGTTCGCCTCCACGTTAAACGTGTTTACCTGAAAATTAGTCCAACAGTTAGGGCTGCAGAACTGATGCACAACTCGATCAGTCATGTTGTAATAAACCCGCTCTGGAAGATTCTTTTTACAAAATTTGCATTTAGATTTGGGTCCTGTAATAAACGTACATACTTAATTACTATTTTCTTCAGGTACTGTAAAACAATTCTGGTTGAAATAATTCAACAGTGCTGTACTTAACTAAGTCAATTTACCATTGGGGAACACTGGACAGTAGTCAAATTTCAAATATGAACATTATCTAAGGGATACCTCATTTTAGGGAAATAGTTTTGCAATGTATGTTGGAATTTCATACAATTAATAGGTACACAGCTAACTAGAATATTGTAATTATCATGTTACACTGCCCTTCTTACCAACAATAAAAGAACACAAAAACAATTTTTATCTAGACTGTCTCAACCTCAACCACTCGGGAGTAAACAGAATTCTAGGAACACAGGAATTAGAGTGGATTATCTACCTCAATGCCACTAATGTAACCGAGCCTCCGAAGACCTCTGGGACAAAAAATTCCAAAGATTCATCAGGCTGAGTGAAGAAATTGCTCCTCAACTCAGTCATTAATGGCCTACCTGTTACTGAGGATAATTCCCTGGTTTGAGCCTCACCAGCTGGGGAGAACATCTTATCTATACCCATCCTGTTACACCTGGAAGGATTTTCTAAATTTCAATAAGGTCACCTCGCATTCTTCGAAACTCTGGAGGACAGTTCCTCCAACCTAGAAATTAGTCTGGTGAACCCTGTTGCATTACTTCTATGGCAAGCATATTCTTTATGTAAAGAGACCAAAACTCTAAAAATGATACCAAGTGAGATCTCACCAAGGCCCTATACAACAGTAGCAAGACATGATGATTTTGGTATACAAATCTTCTTGTAACAAAGGCCAACATACTCCTGACCTTCATTATTGGCCTGAGATAGTAGGAACTGCAGATGCTGGAGAATCCGAGACAACAAGGTGCAGGGCTGGATGAACACAGCAGGCCAAGCAGCATCATAGGAGCAGAGAGGCTGACGTTTCGGGCCTAGACCCTTCTTCAGAAAAGGGGGAGAGGAAGGGGGTTCCGAAATAAATAGGGAGAGAGTGGGAGGCGGATAGAAGAGGAATAGAGGAGAGGATAGGTGGAGAGGAAACAAACAGGTCGAAGAGGCGGGGATGGAGCCAGTAAAGGCGAGTGTAGGTAGGGAGGTAGGAAGGGGATAGGTCAGTCCAGGGAGGACGGACAGGTCAAGGGGGCGGGATGAGGTTGGTCGGTAGGAGATGGAGGTGCGGCTTGAGGTGGGAGGAAGGACAGGTTAGGGAGGCAGGGACGAGCTGGACTGGTTTTGGGATGCGGTAGGGGGAGGGGAGATTTTGAAACTTGTGAAATCCACATTGATACCATTGGGCTGCAGGGTTCCCAAGCGGAATATGAGTTGCTGCTCCTGCAACCTTCGGGTGGCATCGTTGTGGCACTGCAGGAGGCCCAGGATGGACATGTCGTCTGAGGAATGGGAAGGGGAGTTGAAATGGTTCGCGACTGGGAGGTGCAGTTGTTTATTGCGAACCGAGCGTAGGTGTTCTGCAAAGCGGTCCCCGAGTCTCCGCTTGGTTTCCCCGATGTAGAGGAAGCCACACCGGGTACAGCGGATGCAGTATACCACATTGGCAGATGTGCAGGTGAACATCTGCTTGATGTGGAAAGTCTTCTTGGGGCCTGGGATGTACCTACACCGACCCTAAACCCCACCTCTTCCTCCGTTACATTGATGACTGTATCGGCGCCGCCTCATGCTCCCACGAGGAGCTCGAACAGTTCATACACTTCACTAACACCTTCCACCCCAACCTTAAGTTTACCTGGACCATCTCTAACACCTCTCTCCCCTTCCTGGACCTCTCTGTCTCCATATCGGGCAACCACCTAGAAACCGATATTCATTTCAAGCCCACCGACTCCCACAGCTACCTAGAATACTCCTCCTCCCACCCACCTTCCTGCAAAAATGCTATCCCCTATTCCCAATTCCTTCGCCTCCGCCGCATCTGCTCCCAGGATGAGGCATTCCACTCCCGTACATCT